GATTTTAAAAGCAAATTTAAATATATTTCCTTAACACAATTCAGTCAAGTTTAATTCTCTTCTATATATATATGTATCATGTCTGACTTTCGCACTACGCGAGCGTTCACTGTACTTACATTTCCTCGGCTTTTTTTTTTAGAAATATTTATTTTGAAATTTCCAATGTTTTGCCTTAAGTTAAGCCCACGCAAAACCCCAATTATACATATATCTATCTATCTACTTTTTTTTTTTTTGTTTTTTTTTTCATTTCTTATGTTTTCAACTTTATTATATATACGTACATTTTTCTCTTTTTCTTACATATAAACAATATAATACAAAAAAAAAAAAAAAACATATATATATACGTTTATTTTACCAAATCGAAACACACGAATACGAATCGAAATGTTTTACCAAAATGTATTTTCGAACACTAAAAATGATTCAAAAAAAAAATACACTGAAAAAAAAAGCTGTTCGAGCAAAACATTGATGGCCTCAAGCGCAGCCTCTCGACCAAGTCCAGAAGAATGAGTCGCATCACTGAAATCGCACTGGTAACGAATTATTTCCGGACTAACCCCCAAATACTCTGTAACAACTACAACAGCAGCAGCAGCAAGATAATAATAATAATAATAACAACAACAATAATAATTGAGAAAAAACGAAACACAGTCACATTCAATTGTTGCATTTTGTGTTATATATTTGCATTGTGTGTTCGATTCGATTCGATTAACAGCGAAATGTTTTGTTTGTGTTTATCGATTAGTTTTTTTTCAGTTTATCGTAATCGTAATCGTGCTCGTTATCGTTTTTGAATGCGTGCCATTTATCCATTTGCATCACCCTAAAGTTACGCATATAAGTATGTATGTATTTAATGAATTCTCTTAATTGCTTTAAACATACAATTTATTTGCTTGTCTCAATATCAATATGTGTTCGTTGTTCCCGTTGCGTGTGCATTCCGATTGCGATTCTTTTCTTTTTCACATTTATCGATAAGCGATAACGATGACATTAACAGCCCAGCAGCAGCAGCCATTGTGCATGCATGCCAACTCTGTCTAGCATCTGGCGTTAACATTTACACGAAACTCACCACGACTGTATATGTGCTGTATACTCTTATACTGGCTGCATGTGTGCGTGTCTCTCTCTCTCTCTTCTATTAGCATAAGTGAGAAGAATACCAAAAAAAAAAAAAAAAAGGTGCATATAAAGAGAAAGAAAGTTAGGCGCGTTTTTGGAAATAGAAAGAAATCCAACAAAATATGTTTAAGTTAAGTCTAATTAATAGAGTACACATATGTATATATTATATATCATTTAGAGATATATTTTTAGTTTTATGTTTATTGTGTGGTTTTGTTCATTTGATATAACCTAACCTAACATTTATACAATTTTGATTCTTCATTTTCTTTGCGTTTTTTGCCCAACCCAACACCCAACATATACGCGCTGCCTGCACTTTGACTCAATTTCTCTGAAAAAAAAAAAAAACCAATACAAAATGTGATAATTAGGTTCTAATGAACGATTCAACGTATATGCAGCAATTGCATTCAAATACCAGACAATACCTCAATTATCCAGGCAACGCTGCGACCGCTGGCATCGGTATCGGTTCGAGTATCGGCATCGGTATCGGTAACGGTGCCAGCTCTAGCCACAATCAGGCAGCCTTTCGCTATAACCAGCTGAACAGTGGCAACGCTGGCTCCTCCTACATCTACTGCAGTGCGCCGCAGAGCTCGTATTCATCGAATCGCCTGCGCGACGTCGCCGCCAGCAGCAGCAGCAGCAACAGTTACATTGCCTCGGATCCAGACAAGCAGCAGCAGCAGCAGGAGGCAGCGGGTGCTGCTGGCCATGCGACGGCAGCGAGCAAAGCAGCAACAACGTCCAATTCCACCTCTGCCTCCGCCTCCTCGATGACCTTGACGGCCACCGTTTACTATCAGCAGCAGCAGCAACAGCAACAGCAGCAGCAGCAGTTACAGTTACAGCAGCAGCAGCAGCAGCGCCAGCGACCGCAGGCGGGAACAGTTATCAAGGCGCGGCAACAGTTGGGCATCGATAACGATAACGATAATTATGAGAGTGCGGCAAATGCAAATGCAAAACATTTATTGTATTCATCAGTGCAGGCAGGTTTTTCCTATTTTTTGTTTTTTTTTTTTTTGTTTTTGTAATCAATTTATGTTAACGTATCAATTTAGTTTGTACACCGCATTCTTTATGCTCTTTAAACGAAACGCGCTTTTTAGTTGACTTTGACTAGTGCCATCATCCAATCAGAAAACCCAACACACACACACTTACTCTTTGGCAGCGGCACCCACACACACACACACACACACACACACACACACACACACTCAATGCCCATCGCTTCTTTCATTTCACCTAAGCACAGTAAAATGTAGCAGGACGAACTCACCACACTCACACTCACCTTCTCGCTCTCTCTCTCTCTCTTGCTCTCTCGCTCTTTCGTACTCATTCATTTCTGCAACGTTGGCTCTCTTTGATACTCTATTTGCCAGCCTGGTACATGGAACACTTGTTTAGTTTGTAACACTTACGATTAATTTTATAATATTTATAAACAAATTTATTTATTTATTTATTTTTTTGTTTTTAGCTGTTACTAGTCGTATTTGATTTATAAAAACTGTATTATATGCACCTTTATAGTATGTAGTATATATATATATACATAGCTTTGGGTTAACTGGATGTAGTCAATTTATTAATTTATCAAGAAAAAAACAAAATAAGTGTTAAGAACAAAAACGCTTTTGCCGTTTAATCTGTCTGGTATTCTCGTATAAATATTTGTTGTGTATCACTAATCATAATGCTGTTGTAGTTTACGCCTTCTGTCTCTCTCTCTGTCGCTCTCTCTCGCTTACTCGCACACTCTCTCACTCTCTCGTTCTTTGGCTTTGCATGCATGTTATTTTCCGTTGTAACTGTTAAGTACACCTCTGAGCATATGCATACATACACCACATATTCACATAGATACTATTTGAACAAGAACAAGAAATAGAAAAAAAAAAAAAATAATAATTACGCTTACCGATTCACTGACGATGTTTTTTGTTTTGTTCTTAATTTCTCCTTCTGTATGATTTGATATACACGTTTTGTTTTGTGTGTCATGTTCTCAATATTGTCAGAGTCTCAACGCCCTTATAAGATGTGTGTCTATAAGTCGGTGTTGTGGAGACTCCCTTGTGAGTAAACCAAAAAGTCAAATTGCCAACAAAAAAAAAATTAAATAAAATCCAATTGATAAACAATTAGCTACCTTACAGTATATACATATACATATATATATATAATTTGCCATATTGTTAAATTCTATATCTCTATATATCTAATATATATGTATGTCTATAATTATGTACATATATCTATATATTTGTGTGTGTGTTGTCCTTGAGCGCGTTCCGCATGCGCTCTCTCTCTCACTCGCTCACTGAATTAACAGTTACGCCTACTACCCAAACACAGCACACTTTTGAGTTGATGGGATCCCGTTATTTGTTGATTTGCTTTTGCTTTCGCTTCTCACACACGAATACACCACAAGCACACCCGGAGAGAGACACCGTGGTCAATTATGTATTTCCCACTCTCTCTCTCACTCTCTCGCTCTCATAGTCGCATTAACATGATATGTTAAATGCACTGCATTAACAGCACGTAATTAACAGCTTAGTCTAATCTAATACGAATGCATCAACTAAGCCGACACACACACACACACATACACACCCACACACACTCACACTATTGTAGCGCAAGCTGTGTTCGCGTGTAAAGTCTTTTAACCTTGCAAACCAAAACAAAAAACACGCTCACCGAATTGTTGTATCGAAATCTGCTAACGTTAATCACATTAATCCAAGGCGTATGAACTAAAACTTAAAAACGAATATAAAACAAAAATTCTAACAATTAAAATATGAATTACTTAACCCATAACTAATTGAGCCACATCCTCTGTGTGGTTTTTTTTTGTGTATATTTAGCTGCGGAAACAAAGTCGCTTCAATGCGCGCAAAAAGTTCCAATTTGCCATATTAGTGATACGCGCTGTCATCAGGATACGCCGCCTGCGCTACACGGCCGAGCCGCTGCATGTCGAGGATGCCATACGCGATCCGTATCGCGTCAAGGTGCTGCGCAAGGTAAGTGCACGAAATACACACGCACACACACACGGGCGCCTTACAACACTGTTCCAAACATTTATCCGTTTATCCATTTTGTTGTTATCCGCCCTGACAGGTTATCGATGGCTGCGCCTTCCGCGTCTACGGCCATTGGGTGAAGAAGGGCGAGGGCCAGAATCGTGCCGCCCTGTTCGAGAATACTCCGCGCACCGAGCTCCATGCGCTCTACATAAACAATCTCAGTCGATAGGAGACGGCCAGCCCACGCACACAAAAGCGCAACAGTTACTAAACAAGAAAACTACTAAGAAAATAATAATATTAATAATTAGAAAAAAAAACAAAACAAAACAAAACAAGCAAGAGACACCAAAACAACGTGCAGAACTTATCAAAAAAGTAAACGGTTTCCTTTAGTTTCTTCCGATTCATTTTGTTCTGTTCATGCGCGGCCAATCCCATTGTCACACACAGATTACGTATGCATACATACACACATACGTATGTACGTACGTATGCATGTACAAGATGTATAAGAGTTTAACGAACTGTGTTGCATAACATAAAAACTACGCTAACAGTGCATATGTATATAGTAAAGTAAAAGAGCAACAACACACAGACACACAACAATATCAACAGTGTAGTTAACAGCAAAGGCCTTTTGCCCAATGCCCACAGCAACAACACACATACAAACATACATAGATGCATATGTATTTTCTGTTAATGATTTTATTAAATTATTTAATTGTATTGCTAAGCGTTTACTTTTTAATTGTTATGTTGTAGTATACAAAATAAATAAAAAAAAAAAACGAAAAAAAAACACCAAAAAAATAACCAAAACAAACACACCAAAAATGGATGGAGCAGCGCTCAGCGATAACGGAGAAATTTAAATCAGCTTGTTGCAGTCGTAGGTGCGCTCACAGCACTCGGGGAAGCTGCGATCAGTGTTGACAAAGTCGCGCAGCTTACAGCCCTTGCGCGGCGCCACCGCGGCACATGTGCGAAACTCAACATGTCCGTTATCCAAACAGGTGACGCCAGCGCAGAGATGATTCGGCGCCTTGCCCGTCTGACCGGGCGACATAATCGAATTGGAGTCCAGCACGCACTTGCCCGGGTAAGCTAAACAATTGAACGAAGGTGAATATGTAAATATACATATATGTCTGCCGGATAGCTTGCAGTCAATCCAATTGGACATATACTTACTGGGATTGCTGAAGTCGGCGCGCGCAATGGCCGCCTGCGCGCTGTGGCTGGCCAGCGCTAGGATAACGGCGCAGGCGAGCAGAGCGACAAAATTGTGCTGCGACATCTTATTGGAATGTGGAATGTGGAACGTGGAAGGGGAATTGGAATTGAAATTGAAAGCCGCTGTTGCTGATTGGGCTGTAAGTCCGCAAGTGCTGCTGATTGGGATGCGGCGGCAATGTTTTATACAGAAATCAACGTTCGCGTGTTATCAAAAGCCGCAGCTTATCGAACGGCGCCAGCTGCAAGCTGAGCTGCGAGCTGCGAGCTGAGCCGACTTGACCTTGTCCAAGGCATATACCGCTCCTGCTCGCGCCCATTGCCGTCGCCCGGTTTAACGGCAGCTGCCTGTTTGGCCGCTTTTTTTTTTGTTGTTTTTTTTTGTGGCGACTTCCCTGCGGTTCACTGAGTACTTAATTATATTGCGCGTATAAATAATTTTCTGATGTGCTTCAATTTATACACATATATATTGACATATATGTATATATGTTTGCAGGTATGTATATATATATATTTTTGTTTTTTGTTTTTATTTTGTTTTGTTTACGAGCCGCCGCTTATCACGTTTTTCATTTCAATTGGCGCCTGTTTTCGGTTTTTTTTGTCGGTTTTTTTTTATTACATTTTTGGGAATTTTCGTTGAATATTCTTGTTTATAATTCTGTGAGTCAGCGCTTCGCACTTTCGCCGGCGCGGATTTTGAACTTTCGTCTAAATAGCATTCGATAAAAACTTGCATTTGCATTTGTTATCGATAGTCGGTCGTTGACATTGCCAGCACGGCCGCCATTTTGTACCAAACACAAACAACAACAACAACAACAACAAAAAAAGCACCAATAGAAAATGTACCAAATTCGTATTGGAAAAAGTACCTTTGCCTAAGCGCAACGGCTTTTAATTGAAATTCATTCCAGTTAGTATTTGTTGAACTTTCAAAGCACTTAAATTCGCACATATTTACAGAAATTATTATTACAAATTTATTGCAAATATATATAAAATATTTTTTGCCAATTGCCGTTTAAATCTGTCGAAAGGCGAGTGCTCGTTTATTCGACGAGTGACTCCAAAACTGTTGCTGTGACTGTCAAACTGTGATTGGAATAAGGGACGTAGATTGAATCATGGCTTGATCTGATGGGGATTGTTTGTCCGCCCCCCGAGTAGGCATGGTCGCTATAAAAGTACCACTTTTATACGAAAATGGTACATTGAATAAAGTACCTATTGTGGTACATTAGGTACATTTTCGTTGCCCAAATGAATGCGACACAGTTGAGAAAATTAAAACTTTACTAATTTTATTTCTAATACATTTCTGTTTCGACTATGTCAGCCCCCCTAATAGGCATGGTCGCTATAAAAGTACCACTTTTATACGAAAAGGTACATTGAATAAAGTACCTATTGTGGTACATTAGGTACATTTCCGTTGCCCAAATGAATGCGACACAGTTGAGAAAATTAAAACTTGACTAATTTTATTTCTCATACTTTTTCGACTGTGTCCGCCCCTTAGTAGGCGTGGCCCCTATAAAAGTACCCCTTTAGGTAAATGGTACATTGAATAAAGTACCTATTGTGGTACATTTGGTACATTTTCGTTGCCCAAATGAATGCGACACAGTTGAGAAAATTAAAACTTGACTAATTTTATTTCTCATACGTCTATGTTACAGGGGATAAACTATATTGCGCGTATTCGAGCCCAACAGGCATGCTTAAACATACTATATATACGTATATATATATATATTAATTAGATCATAGATATGCGCTTGTGCAGACGCATATGTATTTCTTTATATGTATATTCTTTATCTTGTCAACATTTGATTAATTTCTGCGGCTTACGTAAAATGCATAGAATTAGTGCAACAATTTGGAATCGCGTTCTTCCCTTTTGTTCACATGTTCCAGAAACGAGATTCGAGTTAAATTGGAGTTGTTTTGTTTTGTTTTTCAGTTTTTGTTCTGCGTTTGAATTTTGTTACGAGTTGCGATTTGAGAATCAGAGAGAGAGGCCCAATCGAAAACGGATTCGGATTCGGAATGGAGCCTAGACGCCCGCATAGACGGGCAATTTGGCCGTTTCGACCTTGTCGACCACCTTGAAGGAGGGAAAGAGTCCGCCCTGATTGGTGCGAGTATTCTTGCCCTTGGAATTGCCATCCCAATGGTTGCCCGCAACCGAGACTAGATCCCCAACTTTCAGCTGCAGATCCTCATGGCTGCGCGGCTTGTGCGCGATTACCGCGCGACGATTATGCGGATTCTGTCCGCCATAATAGTAGATATCGTCGAGGGATTTGAAGCGATATGCCGCATCCGGATACATGGTCTGCATTATCTCGTAGGCGACGCGACACACCTGCGAGGAGAACGTGCACACCAGATAGTCGGACATGGACAGCAGATGGATGTCCAGTATGATGCCGTTCAGGGCCGTGTCCGTGTACCGTGTGGAGACGGCGGCCATTCTCGCCACCTCCGGATCTCCGACGATCTGATACTGGGGATAGCTTTTGCGCGCCTCCTCAATGACGCGCGCATCGTCCGAGGCGAGAAAGATGCGTCGGACGACGCTGCTGCCGTTGATCTCCAGCGTACGATAATAGTCCTCCACGTGCGTCATGTACTCCTCGATGCCGTGGAAGGCCGCCTCGGTGCCCACCTTGTCCGTGCGGCGCACATGAACGCTGCAGGAGAAACGGAAAAAAGGGCAAAGGGATTAGGATGTCGAACGTGGTCGTAGCTAGCGATGCAGCTTACCCGACGATGGGACGCTCCCAGCCGAGCTTGCGCATGCCCGAGTTGAGAAAGTCGCGCGTCGCCGTCTGTGGACGCAGCAAATATTTCAGGAATTGGCCGACCCACCAGACAATCGGATCGCCGTGCAGACGCTTCAGTCGCGGCGCCAGATCCTCGGGCACGGCCAGCGGCAGATACGGCGGACGCGGCATCAGCGAATCAATGATGGGCAGCACCAGCACCTGGGTGTTCGCCTTGCCGGGCCAATTGTATGCATACGAGCTGCCCGCATCGTGGCAGCTGTCCGACACCGGACGGAACACCTCCTCCCAGCCGCCCTTGTGGTAGCGCCAGCCCCGCGACTTCAGTATCAGCGTCCGTTCCGTGGCATACGCCACGATGAAGCAGTAGACCACGTGATGCAGCTGGCAGCCGTAGCCACAGCCCTGCAAGAAGCACACACACAAAATGAATATCCAATCGGAAGGGCTTTTAAAGGTGTCAGTGCAACGTTTACGAATGCAACAGCAAAGAGAGAATGAAGAAGAACGGCAGTTTATCGTGCAGAGAATGGAAAATGGAATGCACGAATTGAAGGTAAAAGAAATATAGAGCATAAATATATTACAGAAGGATTTAGTATAACGTTTACGAATGCAACAGCAAAGAGAGAATGGAGAAGAACAAGAGTGGAAAAGATTATAAAAGGAATGTGGGAAACGTAAAACTGGATCAAAAACAAAAGCTCGGATTGGAAGATAAAATGACAAGAAACTTCCATTGCAACGTTTACGAATGCAACAGCAAAGCAGAATGGAGAAGAACAGATGCTTTCTTTGGAGAGAATGAAGGAAATATACAAATAGAGAATGAGAGTTAAAAGTGAGCAGAATATTAACATTGAAAAACAAAGGAGCATGAAACGATAAAAGGAAAGAGAGAGCATGCGAAAAGTACATGGAAAATGAAAATGAAAGAGAGCGCACGAAATGAAATGAAAAGGCATGCTTATGACAGAATAATACAAGTTTGAATGAAATAAACAAACATGAAATATAATGAAATATAAAAAAGAGGATCTTCTGAAGAGAATGAAAAAGCTGCCAGTGCAACGTTTGCGAAGGAGCATAAACAAGCAGAAAGAGAGCGACAAAATGGAGGACAAAATAATAAAATGAAAACAAAATGAGAGAGCAGATTTTGCGTCGAGCGGCAGGAAAATGGAAGAGAGCTAAAGACACAACGTTAGCGAATGGACGAGAAAGAGGAATGGAAGAAACAAAGTGAGTTAAATGATGAAAGAGAGGAAAAGAGAGAGAGAGAGAGAGAGAGAGAGTGAGGCTGAGAGTGAGAATGAGAGCATGCTGGGGCGAATGAAAGCTGTGCTTGGGATGAGCTGCCTTTGTATTAGAAGGCTTCAGTGGACCTTGTTCAGCTTGCAGACGAGCTTGCGTGCATTGGCGCAATCGCTGGGATTCTGAAGATGATGCAGTCGACGCTGGACAAGATCGCTCAGCTCTTTGGCCTCCCGCTGGCGCCACGGCTCGTAGCCATCGAGACGTCGCAGCTGTTCCATATCGCTGAGCAGCGAACGCTTGTGCTCGGCACCCTGCAGCAGCACCTGCTGTATGGACTCCTCCAGCTCGGCATTGCCGTTGCCCACAATTTTACGGATTTTGCCCAGCTCGCTGCTAAAGTAGTTCCAGATCTCGGCAATGTTCGTCTGGATGCGTCGACGCGTCAGCTCATACTCCAGGCTGGGCTCAATGCCCGCCTGGCCGGGCAGCTGGCCGTGCTCCGGCCCGGCCTGCACAGCCGGTTCCGCCTCCGCGGCGACCACCTCGAAGAGCGTATCCTCCGGCAGATTGTCGCCCAGCGTGCGCTTCGCATTGTCGTGCGAGTCGCTCTCCAGCCTTTGCATTAGCTTCATGGCGCTCTGTTTATCCAGTTGCTCGCTGCAAAAAGTCAACAAGATAACAACTGACACATACACGCACACACACAGACATTGGTTGTGCGTGGTGTTTCGTGATTCGTAATTCGTCAGTCGGCGACGTGTCGAGCGTGACGGCGCATCATTTGCATACCCTTGCAGTGGCTCGAGCCGCATGCTCAACCGTTTTGTGACAATTGGGAGCAGGCATCTGGGTAAGCTTTTATTATCTTTATTCCTAATCAGCTGGGATGAACTTCAATAGACTGACTGTCTGTCTGTTAATCTGTCTGTTAATCAGTCTGTTAATCTGCCTGTTAATCTGTCTGTTAATATATATGTTAATCATTCTGTTAATCTGTCTGTTATTCTGTCTGTTAATCTGTATGTTATTCTGTCTGTCTGCCTTTCCACATCAATTAGTTCTTCTTTTACCGCTATCAAAGATCGGTTTACTATAACATATCTATATATCTACTATATCTATGGCTATAAGTCTACCATATCGTATAGCCCATTAGTACAATCGCTCGATTATCGCTATTAAACCCGACAATTGGGCGCCCTAATGTGGCTTAGATCAGCTCAATATACGTTAGCTAAGTAGATATAGGAAGATCGAACAGATCGGACCAAGCCCTAAGTTTCTATATAAAGCAAGCCTGCTCTGTAAACTGCACAAAATAGCACAAGAAAACTTGTCACATAGCTAGTCTCCATATATACAACTCTATATATCACACACTCAAACATCTCAGCAAGGGTATGCAAGCTTCGGCTAGCCGAAGTCAACATTTTCCTGCCTCTTTTTTGCATATGAATGAACGCATTAATGGGGCAACTTTTGCTGGGGATTAGGCGGGCTTAAAGGGAATCGAGTGGGGGCTGGGGTTGGGGTTTGGGGTTGGGGTTGCGGCTTAGGGTCTACTTGTGGGCTGATGATGTGGCACCTGGTGGCAGCAACATACCTCATCAGCTCATCGATGAGCAGCTTGAGCTCCTCGTTGCGCCTTTCCGTGTGCTCGAGCAGCTGCAGCGCCTGGTTGATGCGGCGGGCATTGTGCTCATTGTCGCCGCCGACGCCGCCGCCGGCGCCTGCAGCATGTGCTAGCGCCTGATGGTTTTGGCCATGGCTCTGGCTGTTGGTCAGCTTGAGGACGAACACGTAGACGAGCACCGCCCAGGCGAGCACGAATATGATTAGGGCGCGCACCCACGAGTTCGAGGAGGAGCCGAACAGCTGACGCACCAGCAGCATGGCTTACGGTGCCGCAATTAACCGTATCCGCAACTCTGTGTTCCGTTTGTCCTTCTTCTCGAGGCGTCTTTTCCTCTATGTGTGTGTGTGTGTGTGTGTGTGTGTGTTTGTGTGTGTTTGTGTTTGGCTAGTTAATGTTGTGTTGGGAGCGTGTGTTTAAGCCGTTTTTGTCGCATAGTCGCCGAGTATTTAGCTGCGGTTTTGACTGCTGCCAAACATTGCGCGGCACTTCATAGCTGGAACAGCGCAACGGCACTCGTATGACACAGTTGTTTTTTTTTTATTCTTTTTTCTTTTAATAAATAAATAACAAAATACCAAAATAGGGATGTTGCTGGCGTATCGATAAGTGCCCATATCTTTCAGCGATATATTTCGTGCACAGCGCATAAATACTATCGATAACAAACCGTACTTTTCGTAGCATACGCCAGGGATGCGCATATTCGATAATTGCAGCTGCTTGTTAATTATATCAGAACACTAACTATTTTCACTATAGGCCGCCGTGCAAGCCTAGTTGCTTTAACTAAGCAACACAAACATACAACTAAATCGTAGACCAATTAACTGTCCAATTAGTCGCTTGCTGGTGGCGGCTGGTCGATAACAATCGATAACGCGCCTGTGCCAATTATTCGAAAACCGTTTGCAATTGACAATGTTGAGCACGAAATTCAGAAATTCTTTCGACAGGTTTCATTGGTGTGCATCCGGCTGGGTTGTACTCTTAATAATTTCACAATTTATTTGGACTTATGCTATATCAATGAAAAATGTTTATAATGTTGAGATGATGCTCTGGCAACTGCTGCGCTTTCGATTCCAATCAATCGTATTGGGCTACTTCCCCACAGACAGACAAAAGTAGTTCGATGCCAAATGAATGCGTATGCAAATTAAATTTAGTTTGTTAAATCAAATGAAAAATTATTATCGTATAAATTATAAAAAATTCAGTATTATATATAGTATTTAAAAAAAAAAATAGTTTTACACATAAATTATAAATTATGTTATACGAATACGACCACAAAAATTTCGCATTGTTCAAATGAGTTTTTGTATTTTTTTCTTGTTTTTGTTTTTGCTCAGTCGACGTCGACGGCGGCGGCGTCGTTTGCTTGCATGTGGATGGATGCGTGTGTGTGTGGTGAATTTAAGTGAGCTTATGTCTGGGTGAGAGTGAGAGAGAGAGAGAGGAATAGTGCGCGTGTGTATGCGATGAAAGAGGGAGGCGGCGATCTACCGGAGGACGATTGTGTTGAGTTTATGCGACAAGTTTTTGATTTATTGTTAATTTTAAATACTTATATAAATTACTTTTATTATAATTATTGTTTTTTTCATCCGTTTCTTGTATGTAGTGGGCAACTGCGGCATTTGTAAATTTTCATCATTTGTTTCTCATTTCATTTGACTGTGTAAAAATATCAATTTGTTTCTGATTCAATAGTTACTATGTATTTTGTATTTTGTATTTTGTATTTTGTTTTTTTTTTGTTTTTCTTGTTTTTTTTCTTTCACATATCATTTATGTTATCGCTGCTGCAATTGGGGACTCCGTATGGCTATTTCTCTTTATATCATTTATCAATTGTCGTCATCTTTCAATTCAACCTTCTCCTCGCTTAATCCTCAATTTCAACTTAAACTTCATCTAATTCGCGCCCGCACTATGTTCCTAAGTAACGTGTGAGTGTTGAGTGTGTGTGTGTGTGCATGTGTTGTGTGTGGTGTGTTAGTGAAATGTATCTCTTTTATGGGTTCTCCTTTTTCTTGTTTTTTTGTTTTTTTTTTTATGTTTTTTCTTTTTCTTCTTTTGCTGTTAAGCCTATGTTATGTTATGTGCTGCTGCTGTGCTGCTTCTCGTTCTCCTTCTATGTTATGCTCTCGTTGTGTGTATGTGTGTGTGTGTGTGTGTGTGTACTGCTCTTCTCGTTATGTGTTTCTCTCTATGTTTTCTTTGTTGTATATATATATTATATATTATATGTATAATTAGTTTTGCTTAATAGTAAAATTTCTTGAATGTTGTTGTGGCAAAGTGTAGGTAATGTTGCTCTCAAATGTCGGACCCAACTGCACTACATACATATGTCTTTCCACCAGATACGCAGATATGCGTGCGGCCTAACGGTACTGCTGCTGCTGCTCAGTCGCTGCGCAGTTTCTTCAGCTCTGGCGATTTGTCGCCTGCAGCAGCAGCGGCAGCGGCAGCAGACGCATTATTCCCATCTAACTCACAGTGGAGAGCGGTGCGCTTCTGTCCAATAGATGGCGCTGTCAGCGCTGTCGCTTCTGTCGTCGCGGCCGCAGCGGCAGCTGCCAAATGCTGCAGTTTGCTGGCACGCAAATTGCTGCCGCTGCTGTTGCTCTCATCAGCCTCTAGCTCATCATCGTCCTCAACATCATCATCATCCTCGTCCTCCTCCTCATCATCATCCTCCTCATCGTCATCATCATCAACATCAGCTGCTGCCGCTGCCGCTGCCGCAAGAACTCCATTCCCGTTCCCATTCCCATTCCCGTTGCCATTGGCGGCAGCAGTTGGAGCTGCTGAGGCTGCAGCTGCAGCTGCTGTTGGCTGCGCAACGCTTTGTCCATTGTTGTTGATCTGCTTGTTGTTGTTGTGCGACGGGGCAACAGGTGCTCCTGCTGCTCCTGCTCCTGGTCCAGCTGCTGCTGCTGCTGCTCCGCCGGCTGCTTGTGCTGCTGGTCCAGCTGCTGCCAGGCGACTTTTGAGCGGCGCCTCGAGATTACTTTCCGAGTCGGAGGCGAGCGGCGTTGCCACGCCCATCGGCCCATCACCATCCTCCGTGGATGTGGTGGCCGTGGTCTGCGTGGTGTTGTCATCAATGTTCGGCTCCTGTGAGGTGGAATCGTTCGACACAAAGTTCGAGTCGCCGTCCTGCAATGCGGCGGCAGTGTTGTTGTTGTTACTGTTGTTGTTGTTGTTGCTGTTGTTGCTGTTACTGCTGTTACTGTTGCTGTTGTTGTTCTTGGCCACGCCGGAGTTGCCCAGCGGCGTCAGGGCCAACGGATTGGTGTTCTCGTTCTCCGTTTCCGACTCTGTTGCAGTGTTGCGACCGCCTGTCCAAAAAGAAGGGCATCCATTAATGGGGTTCAAAACTTTACCTTCGGCTGGCCGAAGTCCAAATACCATGTCTAGCAAAGTCCTAAACACAAGCCAAAACGGGCATTTGGGGAATTCCACCCGTTAGAGCGGAATTGTTTGTAGAGTGGAAAAGTCGTGGAATCGACATTGATCGGAATCTCAGCGTGAGAACAACTCATTTGAGTCGCGATTTCCGCAACCCCTTTCACTTCCACTTCTTTTGGCGAAAAAAAGGGGCGAAACCTTGTTTCAAACTCATCCTTATTATAACATGATTAAGTGTCTAAAGACTGAAACGTGTGAAAGCCGCAAGGGCTAAGCTAAAGCAAGCCGAAACGCGCTTTTAGATACTTCCACCCGTTCGAGTGGAAAGAAAAGTGAAATCTTGAAACCTATTTGAGAGGCTATTCACAGTTTTCACAAAATCCACTTCTTCTGGCGAGAAAATGAGCGAAATTTTGAGCGAAATATTCTATCCGTAGCAAGTTTCGTCAAGTTAGGTACAAAACTGAACGAAACATGGACCGACAAACTTATTAGGCATATGATATAGTAGGCCGATCTCCAATATATGTTCTATCCGCAGTAGAACGAAGCTAGTTTCGTCAAGTTAGCTAGAAAACTGAACGAAACATGAACAGAGGGACGAGCGAACGCCAGTTGTTTAAGCTATGCCTTGCACAACTTGTGCCGGTAGGGTATCGGGATGTGATCATACCTGCGCCGAGGCTCTCCTCATCGACATCGACGGCCACGCCATCGTTGGTGTCCTCCTCGCCGTCGAGGACCTTGCTGCTGCTGCTGTTCGTCTTGCTGAGGCTGCCATTTGTGTTGGCGGCGGCGGCGGCAGCGGCGCCTGGCGGGGGCATATCTTCGAGCAGCTCGGGACTGAGGTCGTTGGCCACATAGTGCGCCCAGAGGGCGAGCTCGACGCGATGCGGTGACCAGTGCGGCGTATCGCCGCCAACCTCCGCATTGAGTCGCTCGACTGTGGCCTGAATGTGCTGCACGAAATTGAGGTATTCCTTGGTCGTATAGTCGATGCCCTCGATCTCTGGTATGGCCATCAGGCACTCGTCGGCCATGAATGGCGCGGAATCGGGTGCGGCGGCTGTCAGTAGGGCGGATGCCATTGTGGTGCCGACACCCTTGAGGTTCGATAAAGCTGTGATCGCCTGCTCCAGATTGGGTAGCTTGCGGAAGGCCTTCTTAGTCTCCTGGATGACGGCGCGCGGTGTATTCACCTTGACCAGATACGACAATTGTGGATAGAATTTGCCGCGCGACTGTTTCCATTTCATGGCCTGAACAAGCTCATCGTATACCAAATGCGCATCCTTCCCTCGCGCCTTGATCAGGCCGGGCAGCTCGTTCTGATACCATTGATCCAAACGGATCAGCTCCTGTGGCTTCTTGCTGCGCTTCTCCGCCTTCATTTTCAGCACCTGCGGATACAGCTGATAGCAGTACTCGAACTGTGAGGTGCTCCCATTCTCAAAGAACGAAGCCGTCGCCTTGCCGTTCGACATGATTCTGGCTCAATGTGGATGCAGTTGTGCTATTGGAGATTGGATGAGTGAGTGGCGCAGCGTTGCTGTTGCTGTTGCTGCTACTGACCGCTTGGACGCTGTCTTTGCCTCTCTCTGCTCTCTGCTGTATGTCTATCGCTTAGCCCACGGCTGTTATCGTTATCGATGCGGTTCGATTGGATTATTGTTGTTGTTGTTTTTGTTGCCGGCGAAACGTTGGCATGAAAATAGAGTGTAAGAACAAGAGAATGGATGCGACACAAATTAGCATTACAGTTAAAAAAAAAACATTTACAGAAAGAAAGGAAGCAGAAAAAAAAAGAAGAAAAAATATGACAGCGTTGCCGTATGCTGTTTGCATGCACCGTTAATTAATTACATTCACTGTCTGGCTGTTTTTTTTTTTTTGATTTTTATTTATAATTTTTTTTTGGTCAATTTGTCAGCAATTTTTTCAATACCCGATAATCACATTTCGTTTGCAATTTGCAATTTTTCAGGGCACAGCAAATCGAATTTTACTCTCCGCAGTAGTCGCAGTCCACACCAACAGTCAGTCGGGTTCTTTTTACTGGTCGTCGTCGGTCTTTCGCACGCACACAGTCACAGTCACACAAGCGCAAGCACACACGCGCGCACACATACACACGCACACATGCAAGCAACTCGCTTACACACATATACACAACAAACCGACTCACACACACACACACACACAGAGACATACTACACGCACGCACACACTACCACCATTAAGGCGAAACGGGGCAACGAAATTTCTTTTCATATATATATATATTGTGTATTTTGGAAAAGAAAAAAAAGATGAGATATAATAATACGAAGCACGATACGAATTGAAATATGTATTTGCGCACCACAACTAAACAACAACTAAACAACATAACATCATTCAGCTGCAGTTTCTGTTTGAGAGCTGCTTGTCCAAGTCGCAGACACGGTTACCCAGAGGGAGGCCAGAGCCAAATGCGATTTTCGATTTGTGATTTGCGAATTTCGAACGCGAACGCGAATATTCGTAATTCGTAATTCGTAATTCGTATGCGAATGCAGCTGCTGCTTACCTTTTGCCGTTTTTTTTTTTCAAATAAAAAAAAAAAACTTTTCGTATAGCCTGTGCGCAGCTCCGTTTCGTCTCCCGTTTTCGTCACCGTTGCCTTTTCTTTTTTATGATGTATATTCTTATTATTATTATTATTATTATTATTATAGTTCTAGCGTCGTTGCCTGCTGCTGCTGTATTTGTATTTGTATTTAATATTAAACAAATTTCGCTTGAGACCGCCGCTTTAGTTGCCGCCTGTCTTTCGTTCTGTCCACAGCGAGGCAGTCAGCAAAACAGCCAGTGCCAGAGCCAGCCAGCTATGAAGCTAGCAGTAGTCGCTGCCTCTGCCTTGAATGCCAGTGGCGTCGCCGAGCAGGGGCCGCACGAAAAACGAAATGAACGGAAGAAAAAAAAACAAAAGGATGCAGCTGTATGCTTGCGCGCTAGACAAAACTTCGAACTGCAGGAGCGCCTTATCTCTGACTGCTCGCCCCGTATGACTCTGAGTGGAACTGAAGTTGTATCTTTCAATTGCCAGTTGCCAGTTGCCAGTGGCAGCAGCAGCAGCAGCAGAGTCAACGGCGGCAGCTCACCCCTCGTTGCCGCACGACTGTGTGCGCACCGCTTTATCATCGTTTCCACTTTCGAACGTTCATTCGTATTCAATGCTTGTCCGCTGTTCGCTACAAGCGGCTGCGGCTGCGGCAGCGTCAGCGGCGTCGCAGCCAGCATTTATAGGGGTTGTTGCATGTGCTTGTTGCGACTTAAGCGACTGTCAATAACAAACAACAACAGCGGCAAATAAAATTAATTACTTTCCGACATATATGCGCAATTCATGTACATACACACACACACACGCATTCGTACATCCATCCAACCGTCATCTATCAATGTACACATGTTGCTGTACCCCGTTCGTAACGCCCCTGACAGTTTATCGCTTCGTATGCTTGCATTCATACATACACTGAATGTATGTACGCTCGTTGTTGTTTCTGTAACGTTCGTGTTCGTGTTCGCGTTTCGTTCGTTCGTTTTGCCATCTGCGGCTTTCGTCTCTGCTTTAGCGTCATTTGCGCTTTGCCGCATGATTCGTTGTTGTCGTTGTTGTTGTTGCCTGTTTTTTACTTACCCTATTCGTCGTTGCCGTCGTCGGCGACGCGTATAGCAGCTGCAATTTAGCTCTGTAGCCGTTGACTGTTTGTGGTTCGCTTATTTTTACCCTATGTTCGGTTTCTCGCACACACACACACACACACACATAGACACACACGACGCACACAGAGGCACATCTGTATCCGTCATGTTCAGCGTTGTTGCTACTGCTGCTGCTGTTGCTGTTGCTGGGCCGCAGCGTTGCCACATCGTGCACAAAATTCAACTTGAAACGAGTTTTACATGCATGAAATGTGAAAATGAAACCGAAACTGAGTCTCAATCTCAAACTGAATCTGAATGTGGCTCTGTCATGCCCACAATTGCTACTGCAAAATTATTAATGATAATTAGATGAGAAGACAAATGGTTGGCCGCTTCGTTGCGCCAAAGATACCCTACAATAGCAAAAGCAAGCTGTACGACGCTTTTACAAAGCGCCAGATACAGAACATACACGCACACACACACACACACACACGCACGCACACAGATACGCACACATGCACATGCCGAGCGTGACACACGCGAAAGGGAGAAGGCAATCCACACGTTGCTGTGCGCGGCTCTTCGTACTGCCGAAGCGGCGAATATTGGGTTTGGAAATTTGTTTAGATCCATTTACAGAGCCCTGTACAAATGTAATACATATGCATGCATGTATGTGTGTACCCTCCAACATATAGTAGGTACATATGTATGTATATGTGCGCATAGATGTTTTAATGGTATTTGTACTTGTTTCTTACAATGCCTATGCAAGTCTTCTTCTTCATTCGAAGTACCGTTATTATACCTATTTCATGGGAAATATGTACATAAGTATATGTGTTCAAACAGATCAGTGAGAATTTGGCAAGTTTTGATTAACTCAGATAGACTATATCGAGATAGGAATTGGAAACTTTCTAAAAAATCCCGATTCTTAGGGCAAAATCGTACCGGAAGGGGGAGGGTCGGTTAAGGGGGGAAGGGGGGTAGATCGACCATTATAGAAAACCGTTGCAAACGGGAAGTTCGACGTCTCGAAACAAGATCCATTTATATCCTAAATATACCTTCCATTAGTCCCCATCAAGTCACGATTGATCTTTGCGGGACTCAAGCGACAACACGATGATATGGACTACTTTGGGGTATAAGGGGAAAGTCCCGTTTATCTATCATCCCAACTAGAACTAGGATATTTAGATATTTTTATTTTGGATGAGCTATAAGTATATTATTGGATATATCAACAGGTCAACGTCCCAATTCACGAAAAGCCTCCAGAAAAACTTCAGGTTTCATAGAGCTCGGACTTGAACCCAATTGGGGACCTCTCGCAAAATATGGCTTATAGGAATTGTCGACAGTTTTGAGGGGTGAGTGGAAAGAAAAAAGCTAATCCTCTCTAGAAATTTACAAAAAAAAAAAAAAAATTATGGGTAAATTAAAAAAAAGTTTAAAGGAAAATTAAACCTTTTATCGAAGAATTTATTTCATCTAATTTAATATTGAAGTATTTCTTTAAGCCAAGAAATCAATTAATAGCTCAGGTCAGGAATAAATTATAGACCTAGTTCGACCTGCGTGTACAAAAATAATAATGCAGCAATGTTTTTGCTCAAATCTAATATTTATGTTAAGTGCTGTAATTATATTTTGCCAATACTCGAATTGCCTGGGAATGGAGGCCTGTGACAGCAATTTTCCAGAATTTTTAGATGGTTCCATTTGAAATAGTTTAACTTGAGCGAGACTCAAAGCAAATGAGCCAAATGCAGAGTTCTTTTTTTTCTGCAGGGAAAACAGTTCGAGTCCGAATTTCGAGCATTTTTTAGCATAATTTCGCCCAATATTCGATCAAGACTATATATCCAAAATATAATTTTTGATGGTTCCGAAAAACGCAAGAATATAAATTTGGTTCTTAATGCCGGAACCCGGTTTCCAGTTCCAGAGTTTGGTACAAATCATATTTCTACTGTATTTAAGAACTTATCTGTAGATATTTTCATATAGAAACAGCCGGGCTACATTTTGCTTTGAACCCCAAATTGGCATCAGAAGCTGAGGGCCAAGTTTAGTGGAATAACTCCTAGAGTATTTATGTAAAGGCCAAGCTTTTTGTAAAAGAGAATTCGTACGTTTCGACTTGGTTCAGTTAAAGGCATTGAAGGAATATTGGAGTTCCGGGCTCGAAAAGGTTCGATCTGAAGCCGGTTTTTGCTCATCCCTGAATCTAGATAAAGAGAAACGGTTTGTTTTAGAAATCTTCAATAAAAGAGCATTTATTTTCAATATGTATCTAAAACGTATATTGTAGAGCTCTGAAAGTTATTTATTTCTAATTTTCAATCAAAATGTAATTTACTTTTATTTTTGAAAAACCTCTTTGTTATGCAAACGACACACACACACACACACACAAAGATATATATATATGAATAATTTAGTTGATTTAACTGACTGAAGAAATGACAGATTGATGAGTTACACAAGATCAGCCACAAAAGCTTAATATATCGATTTGTTGTTGATTTCAGTTCGAAAAACATCTAGTCTCAATCTATGCCCGCGCAACGCCGGGTAATAACTGCTAGTACATTGATATCAATTTATAAACATGTGTGTGTATTCGCTTGCAAAACTACAAATTTTCAATATAATTTTGTTGCTAAACAAAGAAAAAGGCAGCCTGATCCTATCCAGATGATCTGTTGGGTATATAGAAGATATATCCTCGATGCGGACTAAGCCTCGTGCCGCATTTGGTGGCGCAACTCGCGCATTGTTATCTGCAAAATATGTCTCGTATTATTGGGCAGCTCTTCAGATAGATAGATAGATAGATGCATAATTATAGATAGGGTTAGATACATTTTGTAATTGGACATTGATAATGCAAAACTATATTATTTACCTTGAAGTTCAGTAGTTACAATCGGCTTGTCATTTTTAAAACTGATAACAAAGTCATATAGAAATATATATAATAAGTATTATTAACATAACAACGGATTACATGAACGCAATATCGATTGTAATCCAACTTGGAATTTGTTCTTTCTTTCTTTTTTTTGGGGGTATCTTTTGGATTTGTACGGGTTTTGGGTTTCGAGAGGTTAGCAATAGATTGGGGATTTAGAACTTTGTGTCTGTCTGTGTGTGTGTGTGTGTGTGTGTGTGTGTGTGTGTGTGTGTGTAACGGCAAACTTAAGAACTCCGGATTAGATACAATTTTTTTTGTTGCTGTTGTTGCTTGATAATTGATTAACTAAAATTTTGGAAGAACGGCAGCACGACGCCGAACTGAATGCAATTTTGTGGCAATCGTATATGGTAAATTATCATGATGTTCAGTTAAACATAAATGCGAATGCGGGCAGTATTGGGTGGATATCAATTCATATCTATATCTTCCAATCGTACAGGCTGTGTGTACGGTATAACCGATTTCTTGTTCACGTCTCGGGACAGCGCCTTACGCATATCTGTAAAGGAGCCGGAAATTAATAACAGGGCAGATTAGGTCGGGCATGCCCGATCAGCAGATACCCTGAACCCAGCGTCAAGCTGCAGTTGCAAACATTCTCGCTTCCTATCTATCTTTAAGCTGAGATCTTCTTTTCCAAATCTTCGTGTTGCAAATGGGATCTACACACAAACAAACAGACGTACGGATCTGACTAGGTCAACCCAGTTTGTCGTGGTCGGAGATGCTTGAATGATACGTTTGCCTACTCTCAAGCCAGTTTCCATTGGGTTCAGGGTATGCAAATTGTGGAATAGCACTTGCCATACGCATCCTCGTCCTGGTCACCCGAGTAGTACTCGAGTATGGTGCGATATATAATATAGCCCAGATTTGTATACATGTTGATGGCCACCTTATTGCTTTTGCGCACAAACAGATCCACAAAGTAGGCGCGTTTCCTGCAAGACACGGACAGTTTCAACATAAATATATATATCTTTATATATGCGTCCAGTTACTTTTCCGATATGTCTTCCAGGAAGCTCATCAGCAGCGCCGCCAGACCCAAGCGCCTGTAGTCGGGCGAGACAGTCAGCGCAGTCACATGTCCGTGCCAATTGTCCATATGTCCCTCAACCTTGCCCATGACTGTGAAGGCAAGTTAGTTTTATGGCATGGCGTTTAGATTTAGCCAATACTTACTGTAGCCCATGATGTGCTCGCTGGGCGATTCGGCCAGCTGAAAGTATTCGGGCCATTTGGCCAGATATTGTGTGTAAAACGAGAGACCGTATGTTTCTGTAAGCGGATCAAAGTTCCTGAAATAGACAAGCACACTGTTATTGGACGGATGCCAATTGCATTGTGTGCACACTTGTCACTTACACGTTATTAAATTTAAAAAGGTCATCACAGGTAAATGGTCGCAGCGTAGTCATTTTTGTTAATTTAATATTTGTTTTGGATTAACCCGGTGCCCGTCAACGTCGCGGTCTATATATTAGGGATAATTAATCATTGTCTATCGATTGCACAGTGTGCCCACACTGACCGCTATCGATAACACACGGCCAGTGTTACCAATCTCCGTTTATCTCCGTTTAGATCAAAGCTGCCCTGTTGGGCCTCAAACAAGCGGAGACTTGCATTTTTACGTCTGCAATTCTTGTTATTTGTCACAAATTAGTCATTTTTAGTAATATTTTATTAATCAATTAATATGACGACTTTAAGTCGTTATAGAATCGTCGCTCTCTTATTTACATCTCCACAAATTGCAAAAATGACCAGCTTGAGCTATTTGTACGTTAGTATTTTTAAACTCTTATCGTCAGTTCAGCTATTACTGGTAATCGACATTGGGCAACACTGGTTGCAAAGCAGTTCATACAGTGTTACGCAGGCTGTTTCTTTGACTTTTGCTGGCATGACGTCACAAATGTTATATTCCATAACAAACCATTAAAGTTTGCGCCAAATATAAGCATTTCAAAAAAATAATATACCAAATTAATTTTTTTTTTTAATTCAATTAATTTTAATATTATATTTTTCGTTTCACCAGCAGCCACTGTTCGAAATGTGCGGTTGTGACGTCATGCGCAATGGCCGCAAAGCAGAGCTGCGCACAAATTGCCACCATCTTGTGGCGGCCCTCGCAACGGGATCAGGGCAGCAAGAAGTTGTGCGACAAGCAACAGCAATGCCATTTCAATTCCTGCGGGCGCGACGTGTGAGCTGCTGCTAAGGTGAGCAGAGCAGCAAATACATCGAATCTCTGCAACAGTTGCCATGCAGCACTTCACAATACGAATTCACACACTGCGCAATTTGTGAGCACCGTGTTTGCAGTCCCGTTGAGCGCAACAGTTGTTGTTGTTGTTGTTGTTATTGTTGGCCTTGAACGTGCAGCATGCAGCCCGTTGGCGCAGTACAGCGGGGCAAGCCGCAGGACTCGGGCACATTGTCGCGCCAAGATTTTGATGGTGGTCCCGTTAGCATTGATGAAGTCGAAACGGGCCTATTTCTGGGTAAGCATTTCTAGTTGGATATCCAGCTTGTGGCTCACGCAAATTTGTGCATCTCGTTGCAGGCAACGTGGCGGCAGCTACCCATATGGAAACGCTCAGATCCTTCAAGATAACGCACATACTCACGCTGGACTCGGTGCCGTTGCCGCAGCATATTGTGGAGTCCAGCCTTCTGACCACCAAATACGTGCAGAGTAAGTGTTAGCCAAAGATTCCAGCTCTACAGCTCTTGTATCATTTGCTTTACTATGTACCTAGCGAAATCGTAACTACAGCAAAGTTTTATATCATATAGCTGCCATATCGGCTGCATATTGAGCTCTTGCATAAAAATACTTTTGGGCATGCAAATAAACCCCACTGAAAAGTCGGCTGCCTTCAGCACGAAGAAGACATATTCCTTGCAGACATCAATTTCTCATAGGAGTTCTTAATTGACGAGTTCTAGCGAATCCGCTCCTCGAGAATCCAAGTATAGAACGACTTGAAAATGTGTAGCCAAGTATGTGAGCTTGTTTGAGATATGTTGAAAACAAAAGAGTTTTCCATTAAGAATTCTGATTCTTTATACAGAGCTTTATGATATAGTGGTCCGATCCTACTAAGATATGGCACGTATAAGAGTTCTTCCTGGGAGTACTTTTGTAATTTACAAAGTTGATCAAGATATGTTGAAAAATCAAAAGAGCTGTTCATGCTACATGATAATGAAGTGTGATCCGAATGATTTCTGCAACAAAGAGCTGCAGGAATAAGGAATTGGACACACCATAGAAACAGTTAGACGATTATAAAGGTTGCCCGCTAAGCGTTACAGGGTATGTCCCATTTCTTATACTCTAGGGAAGGATTGACCCCATCAGATAGAGAGCTCTTGCCGCCTGGCAGCTGTTCCCTGGTAGAGCATTCACTGTACAGCTTTGTTTTCTTGCAGTTGCCGACATGCCGCGCGAGGATATACTGCAGCATCTGGAGTCTTGCGTGGAGTTCATAACCAAGGCGCTTGAGGAACAGAGCAATGTGCTCGTACACTGGTAAGAAGCAAGAGTCGCTGCTTCTCACTCGCATGTCTAATCTCGAACGATTCTTGTCTGCCTTTAGCTACTTTGGCGTCAGTCGCAGTTCGTCGGCGGTGATCGCGTACTTGATGAAGCGTCACGGGCTGGACTATCAGCCGGCGTACGAGCTGGTGCTGGCCAAGCGTCGCTTTGTCCAGCCGAATGCGGGCTTTGTGTCGCAGCTGAAGCTCTTCCGTCGCATGGGCTACAAAATTGATCCCAACTATCAGCGCTACAAGATGCATCGGCTGCGTCTTGCCGGCGAGCAGGTGCGCAAGGCCAAGATATTGCCGCAGAGCTTTCACGGCGTTGTACGTCCCGATCCGGATATCACACGTGAGAATCCCGAGCCCATTGTCTTTCGTTGTCGTCGCTGTCGACGCGTACTCGCCTCCAAGTCGCACGTGCTGGAGCATCGACCGCGCAACATGCCGCATCTCCAGCACGTCGAGCACAGGCAGTTGGCGAGTGCTCCGACCACTTCCGGCTCGGAGCCGCGTCTGCTCGATCAGCTGGCCGAGCGCATACGCAAGGCCTCGCTGGGCTCGAACAGTCAGGAGCATCCAGGACCTGTCGCCAGCTCAAGCAATTACTGTCGCAGCCTGTTGTTTGTGGAGCCCATCGCCTGGATGCACCGCGTCATGCTCAATACCCAGGGTCGACTCTACTGTCCCAGGTGCGAGCAGAAGATCGGCAACTTTAGCTGGGTGAATGGTATGGCAAAATTCTATTCAACTAAACTGTTTCTATGGCCAAGACTGACTGATTAGAGATTGGCGGATTTACCGATTGATTGACTCGCTGATTGACTGACTTAATTGATTGATTGATTGACTGACTGATTGACTGACTTACTGATTGACTAACTTACTGATACTGCCCAACTGATTGACTGACTTGATTGATTGACTAACTGATTGATTAACTTAGTGATTGACTAACTTAGTGATTGAATGACTTACTGAGTCAAACAGTCAGACCTAACTGATTGATTGACTGACTGATTAATTAATTTACTGATTGATTAACATAATGATTAACTGACTTAATTGATTGATTTACTTACTGATTGATTGATTAACTTAATTGATTGGTTGACTTAGTGACTGCCCAACTGATCGACTGCCTAACTGATTGACTGACTTAATTGATTGACTAATTGATTAACTTAACTTATTGTTAACTGACTGATTGACTGACTTACTGATTGACTAATTTACTGAATGACGTACATAATGATGGACTGACTTACTGATTGACTAATTTACGGAATGACTAACATAATGATTGACTGACTTACTGATTGACTTATCAACGCACAGCACAAGTCTTTAAGGGAAAATAGCTGCATTGTGCAGAATAGCTTAACTTTGCACGAAAGCTTACTTTTATTATGTGGATAACAAGCAAGGAAAATGATAACCAGACATGATCGATTGACAGATTGACTGATTGATGATCAACTTACAGCAAAATCTATTTGATTAGGCAGCTGCCTTTTTATAATATTCAACTTTTGTTATGTTAGCGGAGATCAGGAAAGGCTTTTGGAATAGACTCTGCCGCAAGGTTGAAAACCTCGACATGACTGACTGATTGAACGATTGAGGATGACCGCAGAGCAGAAACCGTTCAAGCTAGACAGTCGTATTTTGTACACTAGCTTTTGTTATGAAAGTGGACAATGATCAAGTTATTTAGGAAGAATCTAACGAAAAAGGACTTTTGGTATGGCCAAATTATCTGAATATAGTTATGGTTGGGAAATACCTTTCGCTACTTTCCTATTGAAATTGAATGAACAATACGCAGCCCGCGCAATGCCGGGTAATAATCATAATGCCTATTGACATATATATGCGTTCCTCTCTTTTCCAGCCTGCCAGTGTCCGTGCGGCGAGACAATGACGCCCGCATTTTATTTGATACCTTCCAAAGTGGAGCTCTCCAAGGCCGTGCAGAACGTGCAGACAACAGTCTAAACACTCCACACAGATATATATATATATATCTGTATAAACCTATCTATATGTAACAGATCCAATGTTATAGTTAGCCAATGAAATTCGCTGATGCTGATTTAATTATAGTTTAATTTAAACTGGTCAACCTGGCCAGACCAAGCATATATATACTATATGTATGTGTATATGTATGTGTATATATAGAAAGGCATGTATATACAGTATCTGATCCAGAATGAAATCGGTTTTTGTGCTGTTCCATAAATATGCATTTCGCATTTGGCATTTGCATCGCTTTTTGCATATTCCAAAAATATGAATATATATATATATATAGATATATATATAAATGTTATTGTTAATTATTATAAATGTATTTACATAATTTTGAAATAACCTTTTGGAAAAGTATTTTGCGCAAAGCCACAAAACAAAAAACAAAAATGGAGAAATTTCAAAAAACAAAATGTGAACATTTTTCGGTGACAATATTTGAAAATTTAAACTTTAATTATGCTATAAATGTTGTACTACTATTTGATATAGTAATCCGATGTTATAAATGTTGTACCATATGATATAGTTATCCGATCTGCTGACTGTCGCGTCGGCTACACGGAATCGGATCGGATCGGAAATGTTTGTTCTTATTCCAAAAAAAAAAAGAAAAAAAATGTTACAAATAATAAAACTCTTCCAACGAGCAACAAAGAGAAGAATTAATCTAAGCACAATTGATGTGGCAAGAGATATATGATCTAGATCTGGATAGGACTGAGTTCTTAAGCATGAGATTGTATTTATTATAAACTATCATAGAGCTAAGAGCTAAGCTAGAGAGCCGGAACTGTCCGTTTAACCAGCTACTTATCCAAAATCGCAGGATTTTTATCCCATTTCGGGAAGAATTATCAAGAATTTATATATGCTCGATCTGTGTGTACTATATAAGAACTTATATACCAAGTTAAGTTTAGCTAGCTCTTAAAATCTTCGTGTTAAGCTTTAAAAACGACATGAACATGAAAGCAGATATACTTTTTAAGACTTCAAACAGACAGAGATGGCAAGATTCTCTCAACTCGTCCTGGTGGAGAGGTCGATGTTAATGCCTTTTTCTGTCTGTTGCATTAATTATATCGCATTCATAATCATTGTCCAAAGGATTTAGGCTGTAGCAAAGCATATTTTTTTAATCTCAAGAGCTTCAGGCTCAGTTTCCGCTTTTATTTTTCATTCAGGCAGTTGATAGAAGCCTCACTTCCTGCCTTTGGCTCATCTCTTGGGCAGTCTATTTGCTTTTCTACAGCAGATTCGTTTGTATAATTAAGAAACTCGTCAATTGTATCGTGGTAAAAATGCGTGCTTCGGTTTTATTCGGTTCGTCTAAGATTGTGTAACTAGTTGCTAGCGGCAGAGCCGGACTTAGTACTGGTAGCCATCCGGTTGATAGGGACGTGAGAAGGGTGCCGGCGCGAAGGGCACGGGCGGCGGACGCCAATTCGTTGGCGGTGGACGCGGCGGCGGCGCTGGCATGCCGGGCGGTGCCCAGGCATTTGGCGGCTGGAGCATGCGTGGCGGCGGCGGTATGCCCATCGTGGGCGGCAACGGCGGCTGCCCGCCAGCCATGGGCGGCAGCGGTGGCGGTGGTATCGTTGCTGGGAATGGTGTCGGCTGTGGCACCGGCGGCGGCGGCGCTATCATGCCCATGTTGTTCGAGGAGACGGGCACCACGGGCGGAGGAGGTGCCATCATCGGTGGCGGCATCATTTGGCCAGGCATGACGGGCATCATGTTCTGTACGGGCGCATCGGCGAACAGCTGATGCGGTCGATCAGCGTGCGCGGATGGATTTTGGGCTGCCAGCAAGCGTTCGGCCGCCGAACCATGCCGTTCGCCCTTGTGATCCTTCTTGAAGGCATACGAAACGGATATGGGTCGATTGCACAGATATTGGCCATTCATGGCATCCATGGCGGCATCGCTTGCCTCAAAGCTGGCGAAATTGATAAAGGCGAAACCCTTGGACTTGCCCGTTTCCGGATCGCGCATAATCTTTGGCGTTTGCAGTATGACGCCAAAGGCCGAGAACGTATCGTAGAGCAGCTTCTCGTCCACCTCGACGTCCAGATTGCCAATGAATATGTTGGCGCCGACGTCCAGATTCTTTTGATGCGCCGATGCCTTGTTGACACGTATCGGCTTGCCATACAGCTTGATCATGTTCATTATTTTGATCGCATAGTCGGCGTCCTCCTCGCTGAGGAACTCCACAAAGCCGTAGCCCTGATGCATTTGTGTGACCCGATCCTTGGGCATGTGCACATTGACTGCAAGACACGGATAAACAGATCAGAATTAAGGGCAAATCAATAGCCAAAGCCTGCCAAAACTTACCAACTGGACCGGCTTGGACGAACAACTCCCAAAGCAGCGTCTCGGACACCTTGTCATCCAGGCCACCGGCATAAATGGTGGCATCTATTTGGAAGGTTGTGAAAACGTTTAGATACGACTGGCAAATATGCATGAAGAGCCACTGCTTACCTTGGTTACGTTCAGCAATTGGACCTGCGGCCATTTTGCTATTAGAATATGCGCCAAACTAATACAAAAACCTACAATTATAATTTGGCAACTATAAACCCCATGCAAGCAGTCAAACCATACACGGCATTTGATTGGACGCAGCGTTGTAATTATACGATACATCGATATATGTATATGTAGGATTGTTAAAGCACGCACAACGATTCGATATTTTGTTTAGAACCTCATCGCTTTGAAATACGTATCGATAACGACATTGTCACACACTAAACACTGTGCGATAGCACTAGTCGATAGCGTCCATCACTATTTGGCCTACATTTTTATGTAATGTCACTCATCACTTTGTTGTCGTTTTACAAAGAAAAAATCGTGCTAGTAACCAAACCAAAGAACCAAGAATATTAGTTTGTGCGCTGTGATGTGATATCCAATTGTAACAAATAATGAATTGTCATCAAATATTGAGCGGTGCCTGCAATGCGGGTGACCGGTGCTTCGCAATTGGCTCCGTGGAAGGCATACCATTTACAGTAAGAATACGAGCGATTACGATTACCCTATAGCCAAGTTTTTTCTTTATTTTTTTTTTTTACTGTTTTTTTGCTGTTCGTTTTCGTTTTTATCACGCATCCATCATATTGTACAACCTGCAAACACACACACACACACACACAGACGCACGCAAACACCTACGTGCGCGACAGTCATATGTAGTATATATGTGCATATGAATGTGTACATGTATTTATATAGGTACGCTAGGTACTTAAGGGTACGACTACTAGTGTATGTACCACATTTTCCAATACGGCTGGCATTTCGCGAATTCCAATTGGAATATCCAATTCCGATCAGACCAAGGGGGATTTTCATGTTTTTATTTACATATGCGTGCTTGTACGTATATGTATAAATAAATGTGATGCTTGACTGTCACACTAGCTGTCGCCGTCTTTTCGTCCGTCTGTCTGTGGTCAATTAAGTCCAAAGCAACTGAGTTTGTTTTTGTTGCTGTAAATTCGATGATGACAACAACAACTCTCAACTGATTCAGCTGTTGTTTTTGTTGTTGTAGCTGTTGTCTGCGTGCGTGTTTTTTTTCATTCTTGTATATGTTTTGTTGTATTCGGTTTGTTTTCTGTTTCGGTGAATGCTGCAAACAAACCATTTTTCATGGTGTTTCAATTTGAAATCAATGTATTAACATGTTTTCTGGCTTTTAATTACATTTAAAGGTCAAGTGCTGCGGCTGTAAACAAGCCTCTCACGTTGCCTTACGCACTCGCATACACATACACACACACACACGCACACACATAGCTTGCGATACATATAATATTCGATTGGTCAAATGGCCTTTGATGCCCTAAATTCGATAAACATACATACATGCATGCACATCTCTATAGATGTGTCTGTGTGTGCGTGTGCGTGTGTGTGTGTGCCCTGCAGCCTGCAGCCTGCAAATGGGAATCCTCGCAAAAATGTTGTGAGCCGTAACGAAACGAAACGTCAATAACAAATAAATTATACACGGCCCATAAAATGCTGCAAAATTCGTTATTAGTTTTTTTTTTTTTTGTCGTGAGCACGCATTTATAATGTGGCGACTGTAGCTGGAGTCGTTTATTTTTATGATCATGTGTATGTCTGTATGTATGTATGTATGTGTGTGCTATGTACATACACATACATTCCAAATATTAATTACTAACGGTAACCCCTTACCCCCCAGCCACCCACCCAAACACGCTGTTTGCGCTTATTTGTTTACCGCTAGCGCCTGAGGTCTGTTTTTTTTTTCTTTTCTTTTCTATTTTTTTTTTCTCATCTATGTAATTTAGCAGTCCCAAGCATAATTAACTGTGCACATTCAATGGCTAAAGAATAAATATGTAGAATATTAAGTATGGCAGCACTGCCCCGCCGCCGCCCCCATACCGTTTTTTTTTTAAGCAAAAATTTCAATTCAAAACTGCCAACAGCTGCAATTGGCTGTGTGTGCGTGCGCTTCTGTGTGTGTGTGTGTGTGTGTGTGTACGTACAGTGTGTACACATCTGCATTATATTCTGTAATGAGCTGCGAGCTGCCGCCGCTGTTGACATTGCCACCCATTCATTTAACTATGTAAATGCCATCATTTCAATTGTATTTTTATAATTATTACGTGTGTGTGTGTGTGTGTGAGCCGCAACAACTATTAATATAAAAAAATAAAATAGGCACAGGCGCGGCTGAACTTGAAAATGGGCAGACGACACACACATGCACACATACACACACAGTGGCGCCATCTGGCCCTGGGCAGCGAGTGCCATAGCAGTCAGCCTTGCGGCCTTGGCAAGAAATATCCGCAGGCATATCTCGCCTCGCCTCGCCTTGGCTCGGCTCGGCTCCTACTTAAGATAATGAGCACATATCAGAGACGGGCCAGAGGAACCAGCTAAAATCACAATTAGCCAAGATAAGGCAATGGCTAAGGCAAGGGGAATGCGAATGGAGCGAAATGCTCTATCCAAAGGCAGGCCGAAGCTGAAGCTAAAGCCGCAGTCGCAGTCGCAGCCGCAGCTTTAGGCACGCGTTCAAACTTGAAATTGTTCGCGAATATCTATCTATCTATCTATCTATATACATATATTTTTTATTTTTTAATTTGCATGCGACTTGTGTTGACTATTTCAATTAATTTTCGTCAACATTTAGCTCTGCACAAATTTGGTCAAAGCGTCATTTATCCAATTTATCCGTTTATCCAATTTATCCACAGTCCGGCCATATTTTGTCTCAGACTCCGCATATGTCTTACCTGTGTTACATCACTTTATAAACCTTTCTCTCCCTCTCTCTCTCTCACTCTCTCTCTCTTCCCCCTCGCCCTCTCCCTCTCCCCCTTTCGCCCAGCCATGACAGCCTTGTCCTAGTTTGGCCAAAATGTCGTTAGTCACACAGCTCAGCTGTGGTCCTCCATGGTCACTTGGTTGCCCCCCGCCCCCTCGATTCCCCTCCTTCCCCAATTGAATACACATCTAATCGTTTCTTATCTTTATAATCAATTTATTTCATAGTTATAGATATGATATGATATGATGCATATGTGTATATTTTATATTTACCAACCTTTTGGCACGTGACACGGGTTTTTCTTTAGGAATTCCTAACAAAAATTTTGCACTTTTTTAATTACATTAAATTTGTGTCAGTTAATTAGGGGGGGAGGGTTGTATTTCAAGGCGTTCGCATCCAAAAATATGCTTTCTACTTTCATTTTCGCCCAATTTTTATACTTGTTTATAAAATTGAACAGTCTCCCGTCCAAGTTTAAGTTTTGTTTGTGTCTTAAACTGTCGTTAATTGTGCACAAGGTGTGCGCAGTTCCGTTAGTCAATTAGTCAGTCAGTCAGTCAGTCAATCAATTAATTAATCAATTAGCTAATTAGTCGGCAAAAGCAGTCTAGTTTCTAAATACGATTAGTCATAGGCATAATATGTTGATTTGATCGCTTGTGAATGTGTAAATACGCAGTCAATCCATCAGTTGGCGAAAACAGATTTCGATTTGTTTTATAAATTTGTCACAAGAATGCAATGTCCACACAGTCAATCAATCAATCTGAAATTATTGATTTATTTGATTATAAATTGATAACAGTTAAAATGTGCGGGTATGATAAGATCTATATGTGTGCTTGCATAGTCGATCAGTCAATCAATCATTAAAATCATTTATCCTATTTATTGAATATTCAATCTGTCGACATGGGCACTTTTATTTTCTTGGTCATAAATATTATTTGATTGGTCATAAATATAAAACGATGATAACATATGATGTACTAGTTCGCCTAAATGGTCAGTCAATCAATCAATCAGACAAATATGATATGAGAATATGATACGATCTATATGCGTATGTCCCTAGTTCGTCAGTCAATCAATCAGCTAAAACATATAGCTTACAAATTGATTATTCATTTATACAGCAGCAGTCAATCAATCCATCAGCGCATATAGCTTTGTTTTCTTGTATATTTATAAGTACTAAATATACAATGACAATGTAATACGATGTAAGGGTCTGTCGACACAGGCGGTCAATCAATTAATACGATGTAAAAGTCTGTCGACGCATTCAGTCAATCATTCACACAGTCAGTCAGTCAATCTGATGTAGAAGTCTGTCTACATAGTCAGTAAATCGTTCACACAGTCAACCTATCAGTCAATACGATGTAAAAGTCTGTCTACACAGTCAGTCAATCAATCATTATGATGCAAAAGTTAGTCTACATAGTCAGTCAATCATTTAATACAATGTAAAAGTCTGTTTATACATTCAGTCAATCATTCATACAGTCAGTCAATCATTCACACAATCGGCCAATCGTTCAATATGATGTAAGTCTGCCTACACCGCCAGTCAATCATTCAATCAATCAGCCCAAACTGAATATAATATCTATTATAAATCGATTAGTCACTGATATGAATACATGACATGATGTGTGATATATGATATTTGATGTACATACAAATATGAGACGATTGATTAACGTTTCAATCATTTGTTTCTTTGCGTTTTTAATAGGCATACGCTGCTGGCTGCAATGTGGTCATCCTGGCGAGCACATTCGAACGCGTCCAGATAATACCTGGCGCCAACCATGGCTATGTGAAAATATCGGCGCTCGACTGCAGCACCGATACGGGCAAAATAGCTGCCGCCTATGAGAACAAGATATGCATTTTCGAGCCGACGCCAGTGATTGAGTCCAACAAGCATAACACACACTTCCTCGACTACAGGTGGGGCCCTCCAGCGTAATCGATAGTTAATGGAATTGAGCTTAACATATTCTTCTATTTAGATGGGTGCAGACCGGCTCCTTTACCAGCCACTCGAATGTGGTGACATTGTCTTGGAATTTGGAGGGTACACGTCTGCTGACGGGCGGCACAAATATACAGCTCTGGAAGAGCAAATCGCCCACACACCAGCCAGAGGAGGAGCACACGGGTAAGTGGTTGGTAAATGGATATGTATACTAGAGCTCTGCATCGAGTCAATCCTGGGGCCATTGTTTTCAGCTCGATCGGTTCGACCTGCAATCAAAAGATTGAGTCAAGCAATAACAACATTTGTCGACTCTATCGAATATGTTTGTCTCACTCGAACATGTTCAGACTCCAGTCGATCGAACATTTGTTGGAATGAATCTTTTCGGGTTAGCTCGATGATCGATTGAGTGAAATGAGTTAAAGGCAAATGACTCACTCGAACATGCCGCTAACTCGAACACTTCGAGCTAGAACATGTTACTGATTCGAGCGTATCGAACTTGTTCGATTGAGTACTTGAGTTCGATGCAAATGACTTGACCGAAGCAGAGCTCTTATGCAGGCATATACAAATATTCCATTTAAAACTTTTGTCATTTGCCTTGCAGGCGTCAAGTTTGAGATCGGCGAGAGCAAGGAGACCAAACAAACGGCCAATGCCCAGGCGGATGACGTGTCCACGTGGGAGAATATATGGTCCTGCCAGACGGCCATACCCATTTATCATATGGCATTTAGTCCCGACGGCACGCTGTTCGCCACCTGCGGCCGCAACGATCGTCTAGTCAAGATCTGGTACGAGAACAAGCAGGTGCTGTTCCCGGCCAAGCCGACAAGCGGCAACAGCCAGCCGCAGTCGCAGCACGATGGAGCACCTGCGTCCGTATCGGGTTCGATTGGAACTGGAGCTGGCGATTTGAATTTCACGTACGTGTATATCGCCCATCCGCGTGCCGTCTCCAACATTGTGTGGCGCAAGACGAGCAAGTATATGCCGAAGGGTTCGGTGGCCAATATGCTGGTGACCTCGTGCCTGGACAATATCTGTCGCATTTGGATCGAGACGGTGCTGCCGGACGACGGCCTGGTCAATATGACACAGTTCGATCCGCTCGCCTCGCAGAATCCCAAATTTCGTACGCATCGGCACAAGCATCGTTTCATGCAGCGCCTCAAGCACATGAAAACCTGCTTCCATTTGCGTCGCCACATGAAGGCCGGCGCCAATGCCGCCACGGTCATTGGCCACGGCACCGGCTCGGTCGCAGGCAGCGCCAGCGGAGCACCTGGCGCCGGTTCGGGCGCCGTAATGGGCAGCTCGCCGGCCAGCTTTAGCAACTATCAGGGTCCGATACCGTCGCTGCCATCGTCGTGCAGCGTGCACGACTTTCATTCGTATGGATTTCAGGGATCGGGCGTTACGCCCGGCATGCATTTCCATTTGGCGGCATCGATCAATGCCGAGACAGACATACCGCTGGTGCCGTCCATGCAGACATCGGATCCGGCCAATCAGAATGTCTTCATATTGCACTGGCTGAACAACAAGGAGATGCATTTTACGCTCCAGGCGGAGGCCATACTCCAGGAGCTGACCAAGAAGGTCATCGACGAGGAAAACGGCGCACATCATCATCATCATCCCGTCGATCTGCCCGACGATGCCGCACACCAGCAGCAGCCACATCAGCAGGCACATCAGTCGTCGCATCCGCATCAGGCGCCGCACAAGAAATTCATGCGCAACTCAAAGTCCGTGTCGGTGGACGACAGCGGCGAGGAGTATAGCAAATATTCGCAGCATACGGGCGCGACGGGCGTTGGGCTACATTTGAATTCCATGTCGAATACGACATCGCAGAATTCGCTCAATCAGGACAATCAGGGTAATCCCATAACGCAGCTGGTCGACTCGCTGGACAACAAGATCGAGTGCCTGCTGCGCGACTGGCACCAGAGTCCGGATCTGCTGTTCGCCATACATCCCGTCGATGGCAGCTATCTGATCTGGGTGATCGAATGGCTGGACGACTATTATCCCGGCTCGTACAGGCAGGCGCAGGTCTCGTTTTCGACGCGCATACCTTCGGCCTTTCCGCTGGGCGATGCCATGTCCATGTCGACCACGGTCAGCCTGTTCAATACGGGCAGCCATCCGTTGGCCTTTCGCGACATTGCCAACAATGTGCGCAGCAAGGATGAGTTCCACAAATCCGGCGGTAGCGATCAGAACTCGTTGCGCAGCGATCAGCCGTTCGAAAAGCACGACGAACACGACGAGGAGCGTGACGAGCAGGATGAGCATGACGAGCAGGAGGAGGCAGATGATGGTGAGCAGCAAACAGCTGAGGATCAGGCTGAACGCAGCGCCGCGGCCAGCAGTTCACAGGATTCCGGTGCAGCAGCCGGAACTGGCGCCAATTCGGGATTGGGCGCCGCGCTTCCGTTGAACGTGTCGCCCTCCGTCTCGATGGTCACCAAGCATTCGAACGGCACACTCAATCTCTGGCAGCTAACGTTCGCGTTCAAAACAAAGTTCACCCAAGTATTAAGCATCGGTCATGTTAGCCGCGCCTCCGGGCATCGGTTCCGTGTCAATGACATCACCTGTCATCCGGTGCTGCCGCTGCTCGTCTCCACCTCGCATCACAATCTGCCCGACACAACCGAGGCCAAGTCACCGATGTCGCCCTTCGAGCAGCCGCTAGCCGGCGGCAGTGCTCCATCCGGAGTTGCCTCCGGCAGCTCCAGCGCCGGCACGCCCAACGGCGATAAGGATATCTTTACGCCGACGGGCTTCTGCTCGGAGCTGATATTGTGGCGTGTCGATTCGGTTGGTCCGTTGTGTCATTCCGGCGGCGTTAGCGAACTGGCGCGCATCAATTCACCGGAAATATCGGCGTTCAGCAATGTCGCCTGGATACCCACCCTGCTGCCGAGCACCACGTTGGGCAGCTACAGCAATTCGCCCTCGGCCTGCTTTGTGGCCAGCGATGGCGAGAATTTGCGCGTTTATCAGGCGGTTATCGATGCGCGCACTTTGCTGGCGGAGATCTCGTGCTCGGAGAATTTGAATACGCTGCAAAAATCGCATTCGCTCTCCTCGATGATCTCGAATGCCTCCTCGACGCTGAAGGCGCAACGCTCGGCGCTCCACGACAAGCTGAAGGTCGTCTCGCAGCAGTCGACGGCGCGACCCGGCTGCATACTACAGTTGGACGCCATATCGGATGCCAAGCACGACTGGCAGAACACGCAGTTCCTGCACGTCTTCCAGGCGCAGCTGATAACGGGCGGGCAGCGCACGGCTGCGGTGACGGACATGCATGATCTGGAGGAGCCCAAAATGGATGCGCTGCTCGAGTCAGATATGGACGCCATCGTCGATCTGCAGCGAAACGTGGACTTCGAGGAACCCTTCTATATAGTCAATATCGAGAAGACGCTGCGGGGCAGCACGATTCACATGTGGCGCATCGTCATCAGCTCCAAGCAGCAGAGCTCGTTCCTCTCCGAGACGGCCATGTATGTGCCGGACAGCAATCTGACCCAGGAGCCGGGCGACGATGCCGACCAGAATCCGGGCCAGCCGCGACGCATGTCGCAGGGCGCCGAAACGTTGACGGGCGCCGAGCACTTTGGTCCGCATGTCGAGGCGCCGCACATCTCCATCACCACGCAGAAAGTGTGCACCCAGGAGCTGCCATTGCCGGAGGGCGTCGATGTCATCCATGCCTCGCCGGCGGCTGGACATTTGAGCAGCTCGAGCATTTATCCGGCCTGCTTTGCGCCGTACATCATTGTGACCGCGTGCTCGGACTCGATATCGCGCTTCTGGAAGTGCGAACCGGCCGGCGGCGAGGCCTATCACTGGTCCGAGTGGAAGATGTTCAGCCGGATTCAACAGTCCGCGATCGAGATACCCGGCCAGCCGCTGAACATAAGCGCCGCCTATTCCGGCCGGATTGCCTGCGCCTACAAGTACGGCAAGAGCTTTACGCGTCCGAATCGCGGTGATCCGGACTCGCGATATGTCAACCTGTGCGTCGCCATCTACGAGTGCGAGAGCAGCGGCGGCAGCGAGTGGGTATTGGAGGATACGATTCACCTGAAGAACGTCCATTTGCCGCGCATCAATATCGGGCACGGAATCGATCTGAGCTATCTGCACGACAGCCGGCTGCTGGCGAAGAAGCAACGCCTCAACCAGGTGCTGCACACGTTCGCCCACGATCCGGAGAGTCGTTCGCCGCGCAGCGGCGAGACCACGCCGGAACTGGCCACCACCAAGCAGTCGGCGGCCGCTGTCTCCGGTCTGCTGACGGTGCCCAGCTTCAGTACGTTGCAGTCGCTGAGGAAGAGCATCGCGGAGAACGGCAACACCTGTCCGTTGACGCAGAAGCATCTAGTTCAGCTGGACTGGGTGTCCAAGGAGGATGGCTCGCACATTCTGACCGTCGCGGTGGGCAGCAAAATTCTGCTGTACACGCCCGTCAGCTCCGACATTGCCCAGGCGAACATCAAGGCCATGAAGGAGTCACGCTCCGTGAATCGCCCGATTCTGCGCAAGGCCAGCTCCCTGGCCCAGCCGAACTTTGTCGACGAGATCCGTTGGATGAAGCTGCGCCAAATTGATTTACAAACCGCCGACGGTTTGCCGCCGCTACCCATGCAAATCTCGTGGGTGCGCGACGGCATCCTGGTCGTGGCCATGGACTCGGAAATGCATGTCTATTCCCAGTGGAAGCCGCACTATGGTGCACACTTCATGTCCGCTGCGGCAGCTGCTGCCGTTGCGGCCATGGCGCACGATGATGTGCCCGATACACGCAATCTGCGCGACGAGGATCTGCGCTCCTTGGCCAATGAGTCCACTCAGCTGCGGCTCAAGAATGTCGCCTCGATGCCGCTGATTAGCAAAGTGAGCACCGCCAATTTGCAGCTGCTGTCGCAGCGGCGACTTGCCGCCAACAGCAGCATGGCCAATATGAATGGCGGCCATATGGGCGTCGGACCGGAGGCTTCGGGCGGCTTTGGCGGCGATGCGCCGCCCAACGATGATTACATGACGGACTTTGGCCTGTTCCAGGCGTCGCGCATTGCGTGCCCCGTGCTGCCGCAGTATCATCCCAAGCAGCTGATGGAGCTGCTTAATTGCGGCAAGATACGCTGGGTGAAGGCCATTCTGGCGCATCTGGTCCGTTGCATGAGCGGACCCGGCGGCGGCGTCGGCAATGCCGCCAATGGGCTGCCTCGCGACGATGACGGCAGCCAGGGCGAGGGCACCGGAGCGGGCGGTGCCGCTGGACGCCAGCGCAGCTGGTCAAGATCCCGGACGCTGAGCATCAGCTATGCGGCGGACACGAGCAACATACAGGCGGAGCATCGGGGCAGCACCACACAAATACCCGAGGAACTGATGCTCGACTATGCCGAGATCAATTCGATTCCGCCGCTGCCCTTGTGGGTGCTCCTCAATGCGGACCGAGAGCAGCCGGGCAAGGCGAGCGGCTCCGCGGAGGCGGACAAGGATTACGACGAACTGTTCGATCTGCACAATTCGGACGATAATCTGGACGAGCTGCTCAGCGATGGCGAACAGAAGCGCCAGGAGCGTCGTCTGTCGCTGCCCGAAAAGCATTCCATCTCGCACTTTGGCCCGCGCCAGGGTCAACTACTGTCCAGGTTGCTGACCCATACACATTTGCCGGGCCTCTCCTCGCTGGATCAGATGCATTTGCTGGCGCTGGCCGATACCGTGGCCACCTGCAATACGGACTTCTCCGACAAGTTTGCCGCCGATCTTGGCAAGAATCAGCAGCAAACGGGCACCGGCGGCGGAGGAGTGGGTGCCGGCATCTCGGGCAAAGAGCAGGCCACCGAATCGCTGGACGATTGCGGTCTACGCTTTCTACTGGCCATGAAGCACTTTACCTATCTGCTGCGCTGCCTGCCGCTGCAGCAGCGCGCCCAATTCCAGCGCCAGGGCGTCGGCACCGCCAACATCGTCTGGGCCTATCACTCGGAGAGCGAGGAGGAGCTGCTCCATTTGATACCCAGCTATACGAAGGGCGATCTGCGCTGGGCAACGCTGCGAGATCTGGGCGTCGGCTATTGGCTGAAGAACATCAATACGCTGCGGCGTTGCGTCGAGAAGTTGGCCAAGTGCGCGTATCAGCTGAAGCAGGATCCCTTGGATGCGGCCATCTACTATCTGGCCATGAAGAAGAAGTCGCTGGTGTGGGGTCTGTTCCGTTCGAAGCGCGACGCGAAAATGACCACGTTCTTTGGCAACAATTTCGCCGAGGATCGCTGGCGCAAGGCCGCCTTGAAGAACGCCTTCGTGCTGCTGGGCAAGCAGCGTTTCGAGCATGCGGTCGCATTTTTCCTGCTGGCCAATTCCCTCAACGATGCCATCGAGGTGTGCATGAACAAGCTGGAGGATTTCCAGCTGGCCCTGATCATAGCCCGGCTATACGAGGGCGATGCCGAGGGCTGTTACTATCATCGGCTGCTCAATGAGCATGTTTTGGGCACAGATGTAGAGACGGGTCGCTGTGATCTGACCCGTGCGCATCCGGATCCGTTCTTGCGCTCGATGACCTACTGGAACCTCAAAAAGTACCAGGAGAGCCTCAATACGCTGCTGCTCAACGGCGTCGGCAGCCTGCATACCAGCTATCGCGAGGAGGATCTATTGCGTCCGGAGCTGCCGCATGCCAATCCGAATGTCTTCAATTTCTACATATATTTGCGCACGCATCCGCTGCTGATACGACAGAATATTGCGCTATCCGCGCAGGAGAAACGCATTGCGCACGTCGTACTCTCCGGCTTTAGCTATGCGGGAGAGACGGGCACACGGCCAGCCGTGGCCAGCGATAAGCAGCTGCAGCTGGAGGATTCGATAACGGCCATCGAACGGCAGCTGTACTTTACGACGGCGCACGGCCATTTCAAGTCCGGCTGCCCGGCTCTGGCGCTGGAGGTGCTCAACAAGCTGCCGATGAAGATTAGCGACAGCGATGGCACCGCCTCCGGCAGCAGCTTGGCCGGCAGCAGCAGCGGCAGCCATCTGCCAGACACGGAGCCTGGCGGCGTCAGCAAGGATGAGCTCATCAATTCGGGCATCATGGATCAGTGGCAAACGGCCACGGATCAGTTCGATTGGGGTGCACCCGTTGGCCGCCAGCCGGAGGCCACATTCGAGATCAAATGGGATGACGAGGATGAGGAAAATGACCTGGAGCAGGATGAGACGGCAGCGGATGCAGACCAGAAACAACCGAACCATGATGATCCCGAGCTGGCAACACCGCAACCGCCCGGCAAATCCACGGGCAACGAGTGCAAAATGGACATTATGGCGCAACAGCTGAAATTCGTCGCCTGCCTCAAGATACTCATGGAGGAGCTGTCGACGCTGGCCACCGGCTTCGAAGTGGACGGCGGACAGCTGCGCTATCAGCTGTACATGTGGCTGGAGCGCGAGGTGGAGGCACTGAAGCAGCTGTGCAACTATTGCAGCTCCGAGCAGGCCAACGATGCCAGCGACGCCGATGCTGCCGATGCCAAGGACAAGGACATGAATGCGAGCATCTATCCGTGCACAGAGCGACCCACACTGCACGAGATACTCATGCAGGACAAACAGGACTTTGAGGCAAAGGTGATGCGGGCCGCCAAGCGCAAGCGCTGGCTCAAAGGTGAGTGCAAGTGTGTTTGTGTGTGCGGGTGTGCGAGTGTGCGAGTGTGTGCGTGTAAACTATAGCTCTGCATCGAGTTAACCGTAAAGCTAGAGTCACACTCCCGACTTGAGTTGATCGAGCTCAAACATGTTTGCTGATTCGAGTAGATGCAGATTGAACTCGTACATGTTGCTGACTCGAGTAGATGAAGCTCGAACATACAAAAATATCGCTAGATCGAGTAAGTCAAGTAGATCGAACTCGAACATGTTCCTGACTCAAGTAGATAGAGCTTAAACCTGATGCTGACTCAAGTATATCAACCTCCAACATGTTGCTGATTCGAGTAGATCAATTACTCCTATATTGATAAATCAAGTAGATCGAAGTCAAACATGTTGTTGACTCAAGTAAAAAGAGCTCAAGCCTGGTTTGTTTTGTTCTGTTAAATCGAGCTCAAACCTGATGCTGACATGACTTAGATCGAGCTAAAACAGTCGAGTAGATCTAACTCGAACATTTAGCTGATTCGAGTAGATCGAACACCAAAATGTCGCTAGCTGGAGGAAGTCAAGTAGATCGAACTCGAACACGCTTGCTGACTTAAATAGTTCGAGCTCGAACATTTTGTTGACTCAAGTAGATCGAGATCAAACCTGATGCTGATGCTCAAACCACGAGCAACTCGAACTTGGATTGAATGAATGTGTTCGGGCTTCTCAAATCATCTATTCGAACAATGCGTAGTTCCATGTTTAAAGGCTTTTGCTTTGAATTGATTGAGTATCTGACTTCAATATGAATAAATCAATCGATGCAGAGCTTTGGTGTGAACCTCTCCCAAAACAAACAGTGCTAATTTCACCGGTTGGCTTCCTCTTTTTCTTCCCTCCCTTCAGCCAATGAGACGCTGCTGCGAACGCTGCTCAGCTATTGTTCGCTGCACGGCGCCAGCGGCGGTGGCCTGGCATCGGTGCGCATGGAACTAGTATTATTGCTGCAGGAGCTGCAGCAGGAGAAGACCCAACAGCAGCTGCTCAGCCCGTTGCCATTCCCGACAACCCTGCCGCTGCTGAGCGCCTGCGTGGCGGGCAACAAGACCGTCATCGCGGATCCGATCAAGTATCTGCAATCGCAGACGGTGGACATGCTGCAGAGCATCATCAAGCTGTTGCCATTTCCGGGCCTTGAGCCGAGCGCGCTGAGCGAAATCTTTGTGCTGCGCGATCTGGCCGTGGCGCTCTCCTCGTGCATCTATCAATCGCTCTGCGATTCGGAGAGCTTTGTGGTGAACAATGCGACCTTCAATGGCTATCCCAGTCCGGGCATTGAGAACATTGCCAAAATCAATTCCTCGTTCGAATGCAGCTATCTGGTGGGCAGTCGCAATGCGTTCCACAGGCGACGCAAGTACTCGACAGACGAGCCGGCGGGCATATGCACCACGCCGTCCAAGTGGCCGGGAGTCACCAATTTGCGTGCGCTGCTGGCCCGCGAGAAGGACGAGGATGTGCCCAAGCTGAATGTGCTGCTGCTCGAATCCTTTGTGTCCACCTACATGGCGCTGTTCATCTATTCATTGTCCACGTGCGACAGCCGGCTGCTCTATCGGCTGAGCGGACAGAATTTCACCAATGACACCTGGTCGACGCTCTTTGGCGGCGGCATGAAGAAGCTGCTCATTAAGCCGGCCGCACAGCCGCATGCTACGCACGTGGCCATGACACAGGCTGGCGAGGAGACGGGCGATGAGAATAGCGTGTGGAACACGGTCACGTCCATAACGAAGCAGCGCATGAAGCTCAACATGAAGATCTTGGGCAGCTTTAGCCAGAATAGCACCTCGAGCAACATGAAGGAGGACAAGCCCACCTATCGGGAACAGTTTATGCCGCCAGAGACATCCATGCTCTCCTATTTCCTGACCAAGCCAACCAATACGGGTGAGATCTGTCTAAATATATCATAGATGTTATGTTAAACGGAATTGCTTTGCGTGCAGATTGCGATGACTACGACACGGATGATTCGCACGAATCGGACGGCGAGGAGGAGGAGGACGACGATGATGATGTCAATGTGAGTCGCACACAGCTCAAGGCCAAGGATAATACGGAGCACACCAATCCCATGTCATATTCGTGGAGCATACTCCGTTTGGCGCTCATCAAGTTTAGCACCCACAAAATCCAGGAGTTTGTCAAAGTCGCCGGCATCGAGCTGCAGGGTGAGCGCCGCACCCCATCTCCTCCTACCTTATATATATATATGTCCTTTATGTCTGACTTGTGTGCCCTTTTGTTGCAGATCTGCCCGTGATTAGTCCGTTGTCGCACGAGGTGCTGCGCACCCTGAATCGCTGGCAGGAGTTCGCACTGAACGATTTGATAAATCGCGGTCCGCCCTCGCGGCATTATATACCCGGCTGCTATGCGGAGAGCGGCATCAATGGCCTGGCCATACACAAGTATCGATCGCTGCTCAACAAGGACAACACGCCGTTCATATCGGGATCGGCCGCGGGGCCGATCCGGCGGCTGTGGAACTATCTGGTGCGCCAGGAGCCAACCCAGGAGGTGTTCATCAAGAGCATCTTCGGCAGGAGCACCGAGGCGAATGCACGCAGCGCACACAATCACCATCAAAATCATCATCACAATGATAACGACACCGACGAAGGTGTGTATTCCGTACCAAAATGTTGCTATTATAGTTGTTGTTGTTGCAAATTCCTCTGAGCGTTATCCTCGCGATAAAGTAGCTGCTAGATACTTAACTTGCACATCTATATATTCATATATATATATATTTTTTAATTAGTTAACGATGCATCTTAACATTTACGGACAACATTTACAGCCCGGCTGTTAATTTGCCAGGCATGTTAAGCATTTACAGCCCGGCTGTAAATTGTTATCTAATTGTTGTCAATTCTTGTTTGTTTCTTGTTGTTCGGTTTTAATAGTTTATTCAGGTGGCAGAAGTTACTTAATTTTAGGTTTACAAACAAACAAAAATACAATGCTTCCAGTTTGACAGGAATGGTATTTTTCTTACATATATATATATATATATATATATATTTGTTGTTGTTGTTTTTATTGAAAAAAAAAAAAACATTGTTAAATTATGTGTGTCCCTTAAGTATTGATTGCGTTACCAGTGAAATGTATTAAACAAAAAAGTAATTATATTTTCTTATATGATTGTAATTGTTGTTTTTTTTTTTTTGTTTTTTTGCGCACCAATTTTGTTTGTTTGTGTTATTTTTCGTACGATTTTTGAGTTTTAACATGCGCACTGCTTGGGTCAATGTTAAAGTTGCACTGCTTTCGGCGCTGTTAACTGGACGGCTGTTAACTAAATAACTGCTTTTAAGCCAATTACTAAATAATAGACTCGATAAGATACCGTAATCTAAAGAAGAAGCTGCAATTAACACCCTGGTGTCAAGCACTTAACATGAGCTTAACACCTGGCAATTGACGGCGCATGTTGCAAATTATAAGAAAAATACAAATATAAATATTTCAATATATATATATATTTCTTATGAATATGAACACTTGATTGTATTTTTCTTATAATATAAATATTTTATTATACTTTTCCTTATAATAATTAATTATTTAAAAATATTTTTCTTACAATATAAATATCTAAACATATTTTTCTTATTATATAAATATTAAAATATTTTTTACTTATAATAAGAATACAATTAAATTTAAATTAAACTAAGCTTGGCGTAATCATAATTTATATTAAGTGCTTATATCTCTTTCTATTTCATTCTCTCCCTCTCTCTCTCTCTCTCTGTCTCTCTCTCTTTCTGTCTCTGTCTCTATCTCCATCTCCGTTTCTCTCCCGCTTGGACAGGCCAATCGCATTCGACTAACGAGAATACGGATCATATACGTATTATACACAAGGATCACGAATCGATTCTCACATTCTGCTTGAAGAACAACAGCTCCTCGATGATTGCATTTGCCAATCCGCGCGAGATACAGGAGTTCGATATATCGCTGCTGCTCGAATCGCCCAATTGGTATGAGGACGAGTGCGAATATGATATGATGAATTTGTCCAAAGATGCGGACACAAATAGCTCCGCTTTTCTCATCATTCAGTCGCAGGATCAGTGAGTAGCCAAAACAAACTTCAAGTCCGAATACTGATTGCCTTCCCTCTAACAAACAGGGCTCAATTCGGAGCTGGCAGCGCGCTCAGCGAGGCGAGCGTCAGCACGCAGAGCGCCTCACAGTCGGGCCGCGGCACATCCATGGTGAGTGGGCTATTTGGGCCACTTTTCCGGACATTAACCATATACTAATCCTTGCTCCTTCGCAGGTGCTGCGCCACAAGGTGGACAATGTGAAGCGCATGAGCGCGCATCCGCTGATGCCGCTCTATTTGACTGGCGGCCAGGATGGCTCTGTGCAGATTTGGGAGTGGGGTCACCAGCAGCCCGTCTGCTGTCCGCGCACCTCCGGCACCTTTGCCAAGGTCACGCGCTGTCGCTTCTCCGAGCAGGGCAACAAGTTCGGCATCGGCGATGGCGACGGCAATCTGAGCCTGTGGCAGGCGGGCATCGCCTCCCAGAACAATCGCTCCTTCATAGTGAGTGCAGCATAGTAGCGCAACTATTTGTATTATTATTATCCTTTTGTCTGATCCTTAGACCTACCAGTGCCACAATAAGGCGCTCTCCGATTTCGTATTCCTTGGCTCCTGCAGCTTGCTGGCTAGCGGTAAGTTTTTGGCCCTTCTCCCGTCAATTAATTAAACACTTTGCTAATCCAATGTTTTTTCTATTCCTTTGCAGCTGGCCAAAGTTCCGAGAACAAGAACATTAACATTTGGGACACACTGTTGCCGCACAAGAAGTCCTGTGTCTCGGGTGAGTGGCTTCTGCTCCAAAAGCTGGCTCTCTTTAAGCCCCCAACCCAATAAAATGTAGCCTAGAGGCAGCAGGAAACATCTTGGATCTAGTCTGTCCGTCTGTGTTGAAGAGCGGGAACTGCAAAAGCTTTAGATTTCAAATTTGAATAATGTCTATCGTTTGTTCAATATCTTCTCCATAGATATCTAGTTAGAGACTTTGGGTTTTCAAGCAGCTCGAAAACTTTAAGAGCTATTTACACTAAACGTAGAAGCTATACACTTCGGGAAATTTTGACATTTTGTATGTCTCCTCCCATTGCCCACAAAGGGTATTCTCGAAGAGAGTGTAACGCATAGAAGGAGACATCTGCGACCCCATTAAGCATATAGATATATAGTATATAGATATATCCTAGCCTGTCCATTCGTCCGTCTGTCTGTTTCTATGCGAATTAGTCTCTCAGTCTGAAAGCTAACGTCATGAAACCTTGCATTCGTTCCTCTTTCCGTTTCTATCCAGTACATACATGTCGGAAACGGATCGAAGCACTATATCATATATATAAAGTCTTATGAAGTATTATGAAAAGGTTCGGTCTGCAAGGGCATTCAAATTTTGGCGTGCCGCAAACAGCACACCTTTCTAGTTAAAGGCAGAGCTTTGGTATGAGCGTACTTTTCGTGTGCCTCATTTATGCCTTTCATTAAGATCAGGAAATCATTTTCCGAATATAGTGTGGGGCAAATAGGCTGGAATGTTGGCAAACTGGGTTTAGGGTATTTCCCCTGCTTTCTCTGATTACTTTATTGTTCGTTTTTTTTTTGGGCAGCCTTCACCTGCCACGACCAGGGCTCATCCTGTTTGGTCTTTGCGCCCCAGCACCAGGTGCTCATCTCCTGCGGCAAGCGCGGCGACGTTTGCGTCTTCGATGTGCGCCAACGCACACTGCGGCATCGCTATCAGGTGAGTCTTGATCAATCACAACTATTCCTTTACCGATCAATCAATCAATCAATCGAACAATCTTTTGGCAGGCACACGATAGCACCATCAAGTGCATTGCACTCGATCCGCACGAGGAGTTCTTTGTCACGGGCTCCATTGAGGGCGACATTAAGGTGCGTTATATCTATCCATATCTATATATATATATATATACTATATATGTATCTGATTCGCTTGCAGATATGGGACATGAACCAGTTCATGCTGATCAACACGTTCCCCCATGAGCATGCCAAGAACGGATTCTTCAAGCACACCGGCCAGGGCGTTAGCCAGGTGTACGTGGATCCGTTTGGACGTCTCTTCTCCTGCGGCTCCGATGGCTGCATGAAGGTGCGCCTGCTCGTCGAGAAGGACAACATTGTGCACTCCGTGTATTAAACTAAATGAAACTAGAAACTACAACAACAACAACAACAACAACTGCAGCAACAACAACAACAACAAAATATTTTGTATACTAATTACGTGTCCGTCGCGTCCTTTTTGTCTGTGTCGCTCGATTTTCGCTTTAAACTTTCTAAATGTACATTTTACTGGGTGTGTGTGCGCGAATGTGTGTGTGCCAATGCGTGTGTGTGTGTGTATGTGTGTGCGTATTTTATTGCTAGTTTTTTTTTGTTTGTTAAACGTTGATTATTATATTTCTTTATTACATATATACATATATACGAAGATGATAATGATGATGATAATGATAATGATAATGATCATGAAGATGGACAGTGCTGCCAATTCAGCCGTTTTCTAGCTAAATTTGGCTCCTTTTCAAAAGAAATCAGCCTTTAACAGTTGAAAATTTCAAATGATTTGGCTTGTTTTTTTTTTGTTGTGCTTAAAAAGCTAAGCAGCTATTTTTAGCTACCATTTTGTGAATGCAGCTAGTTTTCTTTTGTTCAAGCGGCAGTTGGCAACACTGGAACGTTTCGTTTATTATTTTTTTTGCTTTTCCAACACAAACACAAGAAGAGAAAGAAGATAAAAGTAACTATTTAACGAGTTCATATGTTTGATTCGTTTATATTCGAAGAGTATTTCCTAAACAGACTATATGCTACCTATATGATATATATATATATTTACATACTATACCTATACATATATACATATATGCACCTGGATACATATATATGTGTGTATATCAAATATACTACTTATATGCTTTAAATCAATTATTATCTATATATATATATAAATATATACAAGACATTCTGCAGTATGATAAATTATATGCTAACGAGAATATATTTATGCCTATATATGCATATGCATGTATATATATAGATATATATATATGTGTGTATGTGTGTGTATGCTATATGCATGCCACGCACACATAGAGACACACGTGTGTGGGTGTGTGTGCTTTTACTTATGTCTTTGTGTTAAACTTTGTGCAACAATTTTGTCTGTTAAATCAATCAAGATCTATGCGTATGTATATATATTCCATATATATATATATATATATATGTATGTATATTATGTATACCTAAAACAATTACCTAAATAAAGTGCAAAAAATAAACAACAAGCGACAAGTATTAAACGAAACCAAGAACTTGCGTGTTCTTCAAATCAAACAAATTATCACCCAAATAAGTCACACATACATGCATACATACATACACACACACATGCATGCATAGATACACACACACTCACACACACACATCGCACTTAGCATAAGCCAATAATGTGACCATGGTTGGAAAGTATTCACTGAACTTTGGTCACACTTAATACATTCAGAACATCCAGAACAAAATCAGAAAGAGACAGAAACCGGAAAGATCTTCAAAACAGACAGAGACAATTGCCAACAATCTGAACATGGAGGTGAGAAACTCATGAAGTCCCAAATTAATTGCAAACTATAAACTAGAACGATTTGAATAGGATAACAAAATATGAAGGCAAGCTTGAAGGACAGCAACATGTGCTTGATAATCTGAACATGGAGGTGCGATGTGTGCTAACTAGTGTCACATAATATGTTAACTAGAAAGATTTCAACAAGTGTAAACAAAATGGAACTTAAAAGACAGACACAAATACTCATAATCTGAGCATGGAAGTGGAGACATGGAGACATGGAGGTTAAGGCTAACCGTTTAACGACATACATGCACGCACACAAACACATGCACACACTCATAGCACATGCACACACTCACACTCAGGCTGTGTAGCGGCGGGTTTGAACCAACGGGCACGCCACAACGCAGTTCAAACCGTGTAAAAGTGATTTGTACCAGATGGGCGTTACGTCTAAACGCGAGTAGCTTCCCATGTTTAATGTAAACTAAGCGCATAATCAATAACTCGAGGCCAAGCGCGTCTACAAATCGATTCTTATCGAGATCGTTAATCGATAAAAATAAGCGATAACAAATCGAAATGAAGCCGGAATTTGCCAACAGCCGAGCTAAAAGCTCTCACAGGTAAGAGGCAGCTCTTCAGATCTATATACTATATCTATCTATATATATAAATATTTATTTATATATATATATTTTTTTTCATCGTGAAAAATGAATTGAATTTGTTGATTTCCGTCTGGCATTGAAAATAGTTTTTCATGATTTTCATTTATATTATTATTGTTTTTTTTTTTTTTTTTTTATACTGTTAGACAATCGAAACAAATTAAGCGCTATGCCTTTTATGGGCCTTTAATAATAAAACTAGGCACAAAAAAAAATAGACAAAAAAAAAGTAGAGTAAATGTTTGTTTAGCTTTTGTTGTTGTTTTTTTTTTTCGTTTTTGATTTTAGCCAAAAATGGATATTATTATAGATGTAGTTGGCAGCGGAAACGTTCGAAGCATCCGTTCAAAATCGAATAGAGAATTGTCGTCAATGGGTTTTGGGGTCGGGACTGTCTGTCGTCTGTCTGGCTGCCCATCTAGCCGGAACATGTGGGGTCGTCTCCGTCGTCTTCGCTTATGACCTCGGCGGCTTAATTAGCTTGCTTGTGGGCGCCGGCAGCTTGCAGAAGCCAGCTGCATCGAATACGGGCAGCAGCTCGCGCACACGCCCCGGTATCGAGCCATCCAGCATGCTGTCGCAGCGAGAAAGAGAGCGAGTGAGTGAGAGAGAGAGAGAGGGGGGGGGGGGGGAGTGAGAGGGAGGGAGGGAGCCTTACAGGCAACAACATCTGTTACTTAGTCTCAGTCCAAGATTTGTTGTACTTAACTTAAGAAAGTCAAAAGTCAAAGTGTGCCCTGTTCGAGCATGATCGACTAGCAGATACCCTATATTCATTTTCTCTACATGCACACTCTATGAGAACTATATTTCCGATAAACTCAAGTGTTTACAGTTCGATCTATATGAAATTTTCAGGTCTTAAATAAGTCAGCCAAAAGTGTGCACATACCCAATTGCCAGGCTCTAGCTTTTAAATGGAGTTCTTGGGGAATTACGTACAGGTAGCAAAAAGGTGAAATATTTGTGATTTGTATTTACTTCACATGCACCCGAATACCAAGTTTGGTGTAGCTAGCTCTGCTAGTTCTCGAGTTATGCTAAAAAAACCAACTCTCAAAATCGATATTTATCGATATGTCAAAAAAGATATCGAAAAGAGGAACATAAACTATCGAATATAAAGAAGGTTTGCTTCAAATGCTTGAAATAATGTGGAAGTAGAAACTAGATAGAGACAGGGAAAGCGAGAGAGAGGGGTGGGAGAAGGGAGAGGGGGGGGGGGGGGAGAGCGGGGCTCTTACCGACGCTTGTAGTCAATTTTGGCGCCTTTCAGGGAGATGTTCGCCTCGGTGGGAAAGAACGTGGCATCGTAGAAGTTTAGGCCGTTCTGCAGCAAAATGTTGTACTCATCCATGGACGCAAGCGTGATCCGTATGACAGCTGGCGGCAGCTCGCGCCGCTCCGGACGCTCCGCCTTCTCGATGGCCTCGCCCACAATGCCAACGCCTCCTCCGCCGCCGCCGCTGCCGCCACCGCCGCTGCTGCTGACGAGGCTTTTGGCGCTGCTGCTGCTGCCTGAAAGATTTGTAGCTGGACGTGAGTTTCTGGCCAAGCTGTGGGCGTGGGCGTATGTGGGCGTGTGCTTTGGGTCAATTGGTTTCTGTACATTACTTCGCATGGCCGCGCGGCGCAGCGTCTGGCCCGGCAACGGGTTCGGGTGGGCAGATGCTGGTTTCTGCTGGATCAGCTGCTCACCTTCAACCTTGTCCGCGCCGCCGCCCGCCTGGCTGGGGCTGGAGTAGATGTGTAGACGGACAACCTCAACCACCGAATCGAACTTGTACATGGCATGCCGTATATCCTCCACGGGCAGATCCTCCGGCACATCCAGCACGTACAGCGTGAAGGTCTTGCGCGGCCGACACGGTATGGCAATCTGCAAGGAAACCACAAGATCGCACAGATTGACAAGATATATATATATATGGAGAGAGTTTTATATGTGATTCGAGATATATGGGTTATTTTTTTTTGGGAAGAAGACAAGTTGGAGGAGGAGAAGCTGTTGCCAAGGTGTCGCCAATATACTCACGCTTCGCGAGAATGTTTGCTGCAAAAATGTGGAAAATGTTTTGAAAGAAAATTTAGAATTCAGCGGGCGGGAGAGCGAGACAGAGAGAGAGACAGAGAGGGGGAGAGAGAGAGAGAGGGGAAGCATTTAATTATATTTAGAGTGTTGCCAGCTCTTCTGCTTTTCAAGCTAAAGCTGGCCATTTTTAGCTTGTAACTAATTTGGCTACGTTTTTCGGCTAGTTTCAGCCATTTTTCGGGCAGCAGTTGGCAACACTGTCGAGGGTTTCCTGCGGATTGTCCACTTACTTTGCGATAGAAACGGGCGCCGGTCACCTTGTGGAAGCCCTTCTTGAACACCGCCTGATAATCGTCCGGATGTGAGAACTTGAACAGAATGCCCGTCGCCGTCTTCGTCAGGCTGAAGCAGCCCTTGAAGCTCATCTTCTCGCATATCAAGGCGGCCCGCTCCATGGACAGCTCATACGAGGGCGTCAGCAGAAAGGCGCCTGCAAGTTCCAGACAAGCTCAAGTTAGTATCTCAGCCGAACTACATAAAACTGCGACTAAATTGAAGGGAGATTAAGGATAATCCCTCAGATTTGCCAAGGGCTCTTTGAGTGCAACTTTGAGGTTAGGTTTCAGTCAGAGCAAATTAAGTGAAGCTTAAACCAAATCCTTTTTCAATTTGTCAGATGTGAATGAAACACAGTTGATATGTATGTATAATTTCAGGCAGTTCCATTCAAATTTGATTCGTCTTCAAATTTTTAGGTTAGGTTTATATGTTCATATTTTAGGTTAGGCTTATGTGCAGGACATGAACTCTTAAAGCAGGCAGTTAGAAAAGAATATTGTTAACTTCGAAATGAAATGGAAAACGAAATACCTAAAGATTTCGATCAGTTACATTAAGTAACGCCCATTAGTTTCGTATTTCATTTAAAAGTTTTAGGTTAGGTTTCACTTTTTAAGGACACGCACTCTCAAAGCATGTCAGAGCAGCTAGAAAAAATACTGTTAACTGCGAAAAGTAGAGAATTTAACGGTTTTTCAATTTGAATGCCAGTTGGAAGTTTTTAGGTTAGGTTTCACCATATTCTCCTAAAGCATGCTCTTAGAAAAGAAATTGTTAGCTTCGAAAAAGAAAGGATAAACTTCCATGAATTGCCATACGAAATATGTACAATTTTGGGCAGTTCCATAAAGTAGCGCTCGCTAAAATTGGGTTTCCCTTCAGGTTTTTAGGTTAGGTTTCACTTTTCAAGGACTTGCACTCAAAATGTGCATGCAGTTAGACTAAAAAACTAAAAAATTAGTGTAAACTTCGGAATACCGAAGAGTTGGACATATGTTTCTCAGATGTGCTATATATATGTATATATCTGGACTTTTAAAAGAGAATTATACATAGAGTCTATATTGAAAGGGATTTATCCAAATGGAGCATCGGTTGGTCAGGAAATGTTCAGAAACAAAGGCAAAGGTCTTTTATATCAGAACTTAACTCTCATCTGATTGATTCTAATATAACTAGATATATAGTATATGTGATATAGGAGTTCGATCCGTCAAAGTACGCCATGTGTAAATATGGCAACCGATAAAAGGATACGTCTGTTCGGAAGTATATATGAATATATTTCATAGATTCGAAACTTTTCAAAACCGATTTTTCGTAATTAACCAAAACTTTTTTGTTCGACAAAATCGGATCTTAAGAAGAATCGAAATTTGACGAAATGATTTTCTAAAAAGCCGTAAAATGTTCAAAAATTCTTGAGCGTAAAGGAAATTCAAAAGATATTATCAGCGTGTGTTATAGATGTTATCTTTAGTTCGGTTTGAACGGCGACCTTTGGTTAGAAAATTGTCGGGCGAGGAAACTTCAGAGTCGGAATCATCCTCGCGCTTGTCGGACCACTTCGGCTCCGACGACAGCTTGTGGGCGGCCATTTTGGTGACGATGCCCGCAGGACGCGGCCTGGAGAACTCGTTCTTGTCGCACTCCACATCCGATACGTTGCCAATATAAGACATTATTCCGAAATGATCCAACTCGAACTTGCGGAGTGCACGAATTTTTCAAAAGCAACTGAAACGTTGAAGCCTCCGCGCGGCGCTTTTATACGCTTCACCGAGTCAGACCCAAATGAAAGTCGAGCACACACACACTCGCACACACACTCGCACAGTTACAGCCCGATCTTGGTGTGGCAAAATGTCGGTCTGTCGCTCAAATTGGAAGTTCTTACAATTGGAATTAAAACGTGAAACGCACTTAAAAACAAACCCAAAGCATGTGGGCACCCGACTAGCAGATACCCTCTACTCAGAAGATACCCTCTACCCAGCACTCGACTAGCAGATACCCTCTACTTAGGAGATATCCTCTACTCAGCACTCGAATAGCAGATACCCTCTACCCAGCAGATACCCTCTACCCTGCAGATATCCTCTACTCAGCAGATACCCTCTACCCAGCACTCGACTAGCAGATACCCTCTACTCAGCACTCGACTAGCAGATACCTTCTACTCAGCAGATACCCTCTACTTAGCACCCGACTAGCAGTTACCCTCTACTTAGGAGATATCCTCTACTCAGCACTCGACTAGCAGATACCCTTTACTCAGCACTCGACTAGCAGATACCCTCTACCCAGCAGATACGCACACACACGCGACGCATGCGCAGCGTCTTCTTCTTACTTTACCCCCGCCATATGAGAAATGCACTCTCATTTAACTTGGCTATTCGAAGTCAAATCTTTGCGAAATTCTCAAGGCTCGTAAAGTGTATGTCAAGGTGTGTGCATCCCAAAGCGCGTCGCTCTAACTTTGATAATAAGTGAAATGGAGAAGTTATTAAAAAAGGGACATATTCTCCATTTGTATATGCCATAAGAGAGTCTACATAGCAAGAAGAGTGAATCGATATTTATCGATATTTCGGAAGTAGCAAGAGTTCTCGACCACAATTCACATCTGAAGTCTGTAGATTTTTTAAATTTCGAGGCTAGATCGACTCGCCTATTGATCCCGATCAAGTATATATATACATTTTAAAGAGCTTTGCTTTGCACAAAAACAGCATACCCCATTTAAACATTTTCAATGGGTATTACAATATTAAAACTGATACGTTCCACATGGATCCTCGCCTCGAGTGGGCGTAACATAAATGGGTGGGTGAGTGGGAGGCGTGGCCGATATATATATCTATCTATATATACATAGAAATGTATATATATATATATATATATATATATAACGGGGCAGGTTGACGCCATCGGCAAACGTCAAGATCACGCGTCAAAAGAAGCGCCAAATGTTGCGTAAATTTCAAGAACACGACTTTATAAGGGCAATTGGCAAAAGTTCTGATAGAACAAATCGCATTTGGTGCGCACAAATGTTCTAGCGCAAAATGCCATCAAATCAGTTAAATTGAAACATACAACAATATGGAACATTTACCGAGCTATTATTATATAAATTTGTTGGACTCTTCGAGCGAAAATCCCTTAGCTAAAACGCATTTTGGTCGATTTGGGTCAAAATTTTCTCCGTTTGATGCCAATCGATAGCACTGTTTCTTACGAGTCTAAAATTGTGTAAAATTCCAAAATCGAACATCATTTGGTCGAGATATCTCAAAAAATCATTAGAAAAGTTTGACTTTAGAAACGGAATCGTTTGTTGGTCAACAACTTTTTTTAACCCATCGAGTTTTGAAATGTTTGAATGCCAATTGATAGTAGGGCTCCGCACGAATTCAAAAATGTATAACACAACAAAATCAGACAATATTCACCCGAGATATTCACAAAAAAAGCATCAAAAAAGAGTTAATTTGCTATTTTGAGAAAAAAATGTGCTTTTTTTGTCGATTTGGCTCAAAATTTAGATATTCGCTTCATTTTATGCCAAACGATGCTGTGTACAGCTCCTGTTAGAAACATGCGCCATATTGAATGCTGAGCTCGAGCTAACAGAGTCTTTAATTGTGAGTGACTCAAGCGGACGAAAGAACCGGCGCACAGAAAATCAGCAAGCGATCAAAATTCGCGTGGGCTACATTGCTTAGCACACACTCACACACACACACACACGCGCAAGCAGGAGAATGCGCAGAGATGAGCCAGAGCCAGAGATAAGCAGCCAGCTGTTCGTGTGTGTGTTCGCTGTCAATTTTCGTACTTACGCTCACGCGCTCACGATTCTGTTCGGTGCTGATCGCTGATTGGTCCAATTAATAACTCGAGTGCTCTGCTTTCTGAGCGCCGCTTTTATGCAGCTGCTCAACTTAATTCGTTGACAGTGTGGCCCCATTAGTCAACTGGGCATGTTCTGTTTTGCTGCGCGCCTGTTATTATTTTGTTATACCGTTTTGTCGATGTGATTGATGCAAAAGCAGATAAGCCGATTCTCTCTGCAGGCATGCATACGCATGTTTGGGTGTGTGTTTTCGCAATTGATATATATGTATGTGTGTTACTTATGCTTGTGTGTAATTTCTTATGCGTTACCTGACTTTGAACGTCGCTAACTCGAGTTGCTGTGCGCCGACTTTTGTCGATTTTGCTTTAGTTACATTATAAGTGCAAATTCTCAATGTAAATGCTACGTTTTCGGACTTGCGCGGACTTGTCGGCAGTGTTAATAGCCATAAAGAAAATCGTATTCTAAAGTTAAACAAAAATGCTATCACAATTGAAAGAAGTCCATTAATTTTATAGACTCACGAATGTTTGTGTTTTATTTAATGGATATCTTCTACTCACGTCGCATAAAAAAAAATATGTAAAAATATGCTATAAAGTAAAGTTTTTCGGCTTATCTATAATATCGTTCGTAACAGGAATATCAATTGACATGTAAACAAATCGCCTTCTGAGGTTACATTAAAGGGCTTGCTTAATGCTTCTCGGTACCGAAATCCAAGTTTCTTAGTAATCTGTCTCTGATGTTGAAGACATTTACGAACTACTAAAGGTATATATTTCCGAAGTCGGACTTAATTCAACCGATATTAAAAGCTTACAAAATACTAATTCAGTTTTTTTTTAACATTCAATAACGTTGGTAGCTGAAGGAGCTTGGTTAGCTATTTCATGCCACGGATTTTGGCCAAAATGGACGCCGCGTCGATTCTCAAATGAACATTTTGTACAATTCTGTCGATTTTAAGGACCTCCGAATCCTTAAAGGCATGTCTTATCAAACCTATGTATTTGCGTTTACAAAAACTAATATATTTTTCATTTCGTATATTTCAGCCAACTCTGCCACGCCCGCGGACAACATTTAATGGGCAAATAATGCCTAATGGTGCCTAGTTGACCTATATATTCTTGGTTATTCCATAGCATGGATATAGTCCTAGCGAACCTAAAGGACAACGTTCTCCATGCCAAATGCAAATGGAACGGGCTCCACAATATGTATGCTTGCCTTTAACAGCCGCCCCCAGCAACAGTCCCGCCCCCCAGGATGGTTTCTAGTTGACTAGCGTATCCTTGGTTATGCCATGCCATCGATATAGTCCTGGCGAACCTAAAGGATCAGATCCCTGCAAAATGTGCATTGAAATGGTCCAAAAACATGTATGCTTTTTCTTTCAGCAGCCCTTTTACATTACACAGCTGCAGCAGCTGGCGCTGTTGTTGAACAGCCGGCTTACAGCGCTCACTTAACATGAGTGGCTAGTTAACAGTGCTCATTTTGAGTGAGTTACATTTCTGCCCCTTAATGCTATGCAATGAATATTTTTATTCAAAGCACTCAGCGACCTTCTGCGCATTTCTGTTCGCCTGGTATTTCAGTGGAATTTTAGGGCAAATTTGGGGCGTCGCCGCCGACCAGGCCGCCCCGTGAGGCTATGCAATGAATTTGTTCGGCAGATAAAAATATTCTGCTTCCACCTACTGGGCATTTCTGTTCGCCTGGTATTTTGTCGGAAATTTTAGTAAAAATCTGGCACCCAGCCGGCGGCAAGGGTGCCCCTTTCGGGTATGCAACGAAATTTTTTTTTCAAAAAAAAAATATTCTGCGTCGACCTTCTGGGCATTTCTGTTCGCCTGGTATTTTGGCAGATTTTAAGAAAAATCTCGACAGTCAGCGGCTGCCAACAGACGCCCCTTTTGGGTATGCAATGCAAATGTTGGAGCTATGTCGCTTCAAAACGACATATCTCCAACGCATTAAAAACGAAAATCAGAGCGCTGGAGATATGTCGTTTCAAAACGACATATCTCCAACGCATTAAAAACGAAAATCAGACGTTTTTTACAAATGATTTATTCATGTTTAAATTGATAAATTTGTTGTTTTGTATGTTAATTTCTTAATTATTTCTCTTAAAGTTATACAAATCGAGTTTGAACTTAAAATGACCATATCTAGCTTAATTAAAGTCCGATCCTGCAAAAATCTGCTTTGTTACTCGTGAAGGTCCTTGGAGCTCAATGTAGTCCTTAATTTGTCAGTCTGAAAAGATAAAAACACATTTAAATGAAACAAAACAAAAAATATATGAAGGCATTTTATGTTATGAAAAAAGGACATAACTCGGCCATGTCCTTGCAGATTTTCAAAGGACATGGTGCGTTAGGCTCGTATGGACCCCCTGCATCGAACTGCATCATAAAAATATGGGGTCATCTAAGAAGCCCAGGACTTGTATTTTGACTTGTAAAATTTTTGTCCCGGAAGCGCACGGAAATGGCCCGAAATCACAAATCCTTGAATAACTCCAAAACTACAAGGACGATCTTAATGAAATTTGGCCAGTTGGTAGTCCTGGTTAATACAATTTTTTTGACACATGACTCGCAAGGATACGCAAGGATGCGGCCGAGTTATAGCCTATTTTTAGTATAGAAAATTGTCCTTAAAACTTTTTTGTCTGAAGGACTTTCGTCCTTTGAGTTGTTAATTCTTAAATGGGAGGCCGAGAACTATTTGCTGGCCAAAGGACATCCCGATAGTCCTTCAAATGGCCAAGTTAGCCCGGAATTTTTCGATTTTAGCCAATTTTGCGACTTACCCCCTTGGAAAAATTTCGATGAAATTTTTTGTCGAATCCTGGAAATCCTTGAATGCCAATCGATAGATCTGCTCGCCACGAGTTTAATAAGCCATATCCTGGCGATATCCTTCAGGATTTGGCCGAGTTATGGCCATTTGAAAAATGTCCTTTTTAGAAAATTAGCCATATATCGGAAACGGCAAGGACGATCTTGATGTCCTTTGGACAGTTTATGGTCCTTGTTCATACGAGTTGTTTGCCACACGACTTGTCAGGATCTGCAAGGATACGGATGAGTTATAGCTTTGTTAATTTACGTTCGAATTGTACTCATATCTAGGCTGTCTGAAGGACTTTCGTCCTTTTCATTGTATATTCTGAATCGGAAGGATGAGCACTAACGGTTGGCCAAAGGACATCATGATCGGCAAGGATACGGCCGATCTATAGCCATTTACCTGTGCCGAAAAAAACCTCTTTTCCTCAGCTCCTTGAAGCATTTTCGTCCTTTTTATTTCATATTTTGGCAGAACAGGCAGCACTTGTTGTCCAAAGGACATCAGAATGGTCCTTTGAGTGGTCAATGGAATGTCCTTAAAAAAGACAATATGTATACCTCGGAAACCATAAGGACGATCTTTGGACAGTTTATGGTCCTTGTATACACGAGTTGTTTGACACAGGACTTGTCAGGATCTGCAAGGATACGGATGAGTTATAGCTTTGTTAATTTATGTAAGAATTGTACTCACATCTAGGCATTCTGAAGGACTTTCGACCCTTTCATTGTATATACAGCCATTTATCTGTGCCAACAAAAACCTCCTTTCCTCAGCTCTATTTAGGATTTCCGTCCTTTTGATTACATATTTTAAGTTGGCAGAATAAGCAGCACTTGTTGTCCAAAGGACATCAGAATGGTTCCCTGGGTGGTCAATGGAATGTCCTTAAAAAAGACAATATCCATATCTCGGAAACCATAGAGACGTTCTTGATGTCCTTTGGACAGTTTATGGTCCTTGTTCACACGAGTTGTTTGACACAGGACTCTTTTTCAAATTCTTAAAGTTAGATTTTATGACATCAAAATAGAAACTTACAATTGCAATTGAAAATTTGCAGAAACATTCGTCCTGGAATACAGTTAAATCTTAAGCAATCAATTAGCAAGGATAAGAACATACATTTCATAGAATTTATGTCATTTCATAATATGTGGTTTATTAATAAATTATTTTATTTAAATTAATATTTCAGTTTTTGAATATTTATAATATTTTTTGTTTTACCATTTTTTTCGTTTTTGTTTTGTTTCCTTCTTGTTGTTGTTCTTTTGCGTGTTCTTGTTAATTGTTTTCGAATTGATGTCTCGTTTAAACAAAATGTGTTTTCCACTTAATAATATTATAATAATAAACTACTCAAGTGTTTACATGGCAACTATAACTTCATTGTTTTTTCATATGATTTTCTTTACTCATCTTTTTTTTTTTTGCATTTTTTTTGTTGTTCTTGATATTTTTACTATATTTTTTTTTTGGTTTCATTTCAACGAACTGGATAACAGAATCAAAAGTAGACATAAAAGAAGCAAAGAATTGTCTTGAAGCTGCAAATCGAAAAGACTTGAGAACCGACTGGAGAAGAGGCAAGCGGGGGGTAGAGGGGGTGGTTGTACGTACAAACATACATAAGTGTTGTAAAAGCGCTTCATATGATATATATATATATATATATATAAATATACATATATATTAATTTGTATATATGCATATGCTTTGTATTTAGTTATATTTCTTGTAAGCCTGTGGATAGCATTTCCTGCATGCGTGTGTGTGGGTGTGTGTGTGTGTGAGTGGGGGGAGGTACTTTTGCTTGCACAGTGTTGTAAAACAACAAAAGGGCTAAAATCATATATCACGCTAGCTTTTGAAATATAAGAAAACGAGTGCGCTCCAAAGCAACAACAAGAATCGAGCAATCGCCCGATCGATTTATCGACTTATCGATCAATCGACATATCGGTCTATCGATTTATCGATTGTGTCCGTTTTGGAGTAAGCACACATTTACATACTTACATACAATACATACAATACATACACAACAACTACGAAATAACTGATACAATGTTATAACAATTATGCGGCGGTGGCTCTCTTTTACTTTTACTTTTACTCTTACTTCTTTAACTGCTTTTCCAACTATATTTGATCGCTTTTTCTTTAGTTTTTGGTGTTTTTTTTTCTAGGCAAGGTGCAAATCAGCAGCGGGGTGCAGTTAAATCGTTGAAAGAGTTGGAAGGGGAAGCAGGTCAATAAGGAGAGGTGGGAGATTCATAGAACTTACATATCGTTATATGTAAATGGACAAATGGATTAGACAGAGACAGAGACATAGAGAGAGTGAGAGAGAGACATAGAGTGAGAGCGTGGGAGCTAGGATTGTGTTTTATCTTAGATTTAAGTGCCAAAGCGAATTTCATTATCTTTATATATATACGTCATCGTGTATGTGTGTGTGTGTATGTACACACTATATATATATATATATATATATATGTGTGTGTGTTACATAGTTACATACATACACATATATCAATTGCAGAAAGCAGCTTAAACAATTCGCATTCTCTTGCATTTGGTGTACAGTTGGTATATATATATATATATATATATATACTATATAATTAGATATATTACGAGATATCTGTTTGCTGGCCTTTTATATTATCTTGCTTCACATATGCCTCTTTATATTTTCTTTAACTATATTATAATTATGATTTTTAGGTTTAGCTTAAATAAAAACAATAAAAAAAAACGACTCGAAACAGAAATTGCAATCTTTGCTTAAATATTTGCTTTAAATTGTGTGCAATCTTTTTTTTCGATTTTTCGTTTCTTTTTAGGTTTTACTTTAGTAATATTCATTTTTGGATAATACATACAAATACATTCATATATAGCTTAGCCTTAGGATTGTGTGTGGTTTTTATTTTGTTCTTTCTTGGTTTTTGTTTTTGTTTTTTTTTTGGGCCTGGTAAAAAGCATGGCAAAAATAATTGGATTGGTTTCTATACGTATATGATGTATATGATGTGTGTGTGTGTGTGTGTGTGTGTGTGTGGGTGTGTGTTTGTGTTGTGATGTAACAAAACGATTTGTACGCTTCGAACTGACTAGAAATTCGAAAAAAATTGTCTTAACATGTTGTACAATGCGTCAATCATACAATCAATCATAATCGTATGTGCTAAACAAGGTATGTAAATTATAATTAAATAATTCGTTATAAAATATATATCTAAACATAATAAAAAAAATAAAGTCTTTGCATTGGAATCGGTACACGTACACGTTCACATCTTACATCAAGATGTACGCGGCTTGTACATCTTTCTATTTGTCTGCTGGCTGTAGGTGAGTGTGCGAGTGTGTGTATGTGTGTGTGTGTGTGTTCAAATTTGCTAATTAGTTGTACAATCAATGGTGATTGATCAATCATTGCTCATAACGTTACGAGATTTGGCTACCGTCCATCAACTTCAATCAGTCAGAGTCAGTCAGTCAGTCAGTCAAGCTGCCGTTGCATTCGGAGTTTGAAATGATTTTTGTTATTTGTTATAAATCTACGCATTCTATAGTACTTTTAAATTTTTGGAGGGAGAGAGAACAAGCGTTTTGCTCGTGTTAAGCTCTAGGCATGCCCCAAAATGATTGATGATTGACCTACAACTAATGATTGATTGAATATGGCACTAGCACTAGCACTGGGACTTTGCAAGCTATCAAGGCTATACAATTTCAAGGCAATGCGATCTGTCTGCGTGTGTGTGTGTGTGTGTGTGTGTGTGTGTGTGTGTGTGTGTGAGTGTGTGTGTGTGTTACAAGATATGCCCAAAAGTGTGCGTAGAATTTGAGATACAAGTTATATATAATAGATCAAAACTAGTTTTTAGGCTTAAACAATGTTAGAACAAGTCGAAAAGATTGCTTAGACGTTTTTTTGTTTATAAACAATACAAATATCATAACACTCTGTAGTTCCAAGACAATATTAATTTAGCGTGAGAGGGGGGGGGGGGGAGTGAGGGAGACAGCAACATAGCTTAAATTTATATATAGATATTGTAATGTCTTATTTACAATATGTGCAGACCTACAGATACTCTACGAAAGCAAGCATTATGGCAATTGATTGATTGTGATTGAACTACAGAGTTCTACAATAATAATAATAAATAATTATATGTGCATAATTATTAGAAATTAGAATTGTGTTTTTCAATTTATGCAATATGGCTTTAATTATTTTGTGTGTTTGCTTTTTTGCATTGCTTTGTTTTTCGTTTTTTTCTTGTTTGGTTTTTCTTGTTTTTGTTACAATTTTTTTTTTTTCGTTTTTCTTTTCGTTTGTTTTTTTTTTTGTTGTTGTTGGACGGAACAATTTACAACATATGATTATGAAACAATGATTTAATGATCTAACAAAATGTAATACTTAAATGCCTTACGAATGCGAAACTAAAATAATAATAATACAAAATGACAACAAAAACACAGAAACGCAACATAAACATATGTCTATTTAAATCTATGATGTTGTATATGCAGAGAAAACAAAAATAAACTTTTGCTAATGGAATGAATTAGCTCGGGCTGCATTACATATACATATATATATATATATATATATATATGAAGAATCAAACGATAGCATAGAGAGCCTATTTAGCTCTTGTTATAGACAGTTACACACTTATAAGGATGCAATTTGTTTAGTACACTTATGTATTATATATATATATATATATATATATATATATATATATATATGTGCATGTATTACATATATATGTTGCACTATTTAATGGGTTACAGCGAATTTGTGGCATATTTTTTGTTCTTGCTCGTTTCGTTTAACAACATTTTTCTTTGTTGCTCATTTTGTAATTGATTTATGTTTGTTTTTGTTTAGCATTTTTTTCTCATTTAGCTTTGTTAAAATTGTCGCCTCATAAATATATAAATACATATATATATATATATAATAATGATAATCAGAGTAAAAGTGAATCAGCATAATGATAATGACAATAATAATTGCAATAATATATATACATATATATATATATATATGTACGTATGTATATGCGCATATATATATCTCTATAAATAGGTTTTAATATTATATAAAGCTTAATCGCTTGGTAATATCATAGAATATTTTTGGTTACACATTTCCCTTTACTTTATTTGCTGTCCATTAATGCGATCGTGTTCAAATAAAGCTCATAAGCGTCTATATACTTTTCGTGTTCGGTTGTCGATTATTATAATTATTATTATTATTATAATGTATTTAGTTCTTAGGGTTTTTTTTCAATTATAATTGTAATTGTAATTGTAATTATAATGATAATAATAATATTATGATTGCGATATTTGGGCCAACTCGTTAGCCAACTTATACAGTTATAAAGCGATGTCTCTTTCTTTCTTTCTTTAAATACATTTATAGTATGCGTGTTATTAGATATATATATATACTATATATATATATATATGTCGTAGCATAGTTTTGAAATTTTCTTTATCGAGTTTGTGTCGCAACGTGCCCAACTCCCTGGCCTAGCTTTTGCACAAGTGGTTTTGAGGACGAAGGACAAAGGGTTGGTGGGGGAAGGGGCCAAAAACGAGTTACAAATAACAAATGCATAAATTCACTTGTTTTTTTATAGTTCTAATAAGAGAGAGAGGGAGAGAGAGAGAGATATGCATATGAGGCCGAGATCTCGTATAAAATATGTGTGCTTTTTCTTAAGTTTTTTCTTTTCTTTTCACAATTGTTGCTACCAGTTGAAGTTTTTCATATACTTATATACGTATTTGTATCGTTTTAAGCAGAAGAGTTGGCAAGCAATTTGGAAACAAGCTATGCTTTGTGCTCTCATACATATCTTTATATATATATATATATATATATCAATTCTTAAGCCTAAATGCACGCAATTAACAAACATTTGCCCACTTGTGCTGGCATTGATTGGGCTGGAGGGGGTAGAGTGTGTGTGTGGGGAGGGGAGGGGGCTTGCGACACTTGAACAAATTGTATATATATATATGCACGATATCGTCTATGTATATATACTATATATATATATATATAGTTTATGCTTTTTATATGGTATGAACTTAAGGTCTAGGCAATAAATATTTCTTGTTTTCAGCGTCGCGTTTAACTCTGGGTACAATTTTTGTATTGAGTATTCTTTTAGGTTTTGGATTGCTAGAATTGCGTTTCTTGTGTGTGTATGTGTGTGTGGTGTGTGTGTGTACAAGTTACCCTTTAGTTGCATTTGCTTGGAATTTGAAACTTTTGCTTTGGACAATGCTCAGGCGGCGGCGGCATCGCCTCGTTGTCTCCGTCTCCGTTTCCGTTTCCATTTCCGTCTCCAACTGCAATTCGAACGGCGACGAGCTCGTCTAGCATTTGGATCTGCTTGCGCGTGGGCGTTGTTAGGGGCGTAACGACATTCTGGTATCGTTGATGAAATGTTGACAATATCTCGCGAATTTTAGCAATGATCTCTTGTACTCAGGCATTTGACTCCTGCAAGCGAGAGAGCGAGGGAGAGAAGATTAACATATATCCCATTTAAATGTGCCAATCACACCTTTAGATTATCGAAGTAGTGCATGATCTGTTCGTAATCCATGTCGAGATCATCCAGGCCCAGACGTTCGCCAGGTGCCAGCGTATCGTCTACGGTGGCCGAGAACATGGGATTGCCAACAACTGTGGCGCGCTTGATGCGCGACGATTTTGTTGTTGGCTCGCTGCTAATGTGGGCGTGGCCATGTCCGAGAGCCGGCGGTGTCGGCAGCCGGGCTAGCTCATCGGTGGCATTCGAATTGGCCGCATCCGCAACGGTGCTCAATATGCTGTGGTTGTGATTCTCTAAAACAGGGGAACCAAAGACAACAATTAGTATATTTATTGACAGTCAATAAATCTGCGTCTAACCCTTGATTTGTGTTATGGCTGGCGATGTGGCAGCTGCTGCTGCTGCTGTTGCTGCTGCAACGGCTGCTGCTTTGGTTACTCTCTTTGGTGTCAGCGAATCGAATTGAAATGCATTCTTCTGATGCGGATTTGTGTACTCCACCAGCTTCTCGGCATTGTGCAGCTCCTCGTGCTGTTGTTGCTGCTGCTGCTGCTGTTGTTGTTGTTGCTGCTGTTGCTGCTGCTGCTGCTGCAGTTGCTGATGCTGCTTGAGTTTCATGTGTGCCAAGCGCAGCGCTGGCTCCTGTATAAAATTGTGGCTATGGCTATGACTGCGCTGATGCTGACGTTCCGGCTGCGGCGGCGGCTGCTGCGTCGCATTGTTGTTGTCGTTGTGCAGCGGCTCGCGCTTGAATTGCTGGCTGTGACGCTTGTTGATCATCTCCTTTTCCTAGATGACCACCAAAAAAAATAAAGAAAACAAGCATTAATCGGAGTTGAGGCAGAGAGTTGCCGCTGCCTACCTTGACGGGCGCCGACTGCGGCAGCTGTGGCGGCAACAGGGCGCGTGTCCCAACATTGCGATGCGGCGGCACAGGCGGCTTGTATTCCGGAGCGACGGCGTCCTTGCCAGGCAGATAGCTGTAAGAATTGTTAGATGAGCTTTGCGGCTAACAGCTGGAATTGTGCACTTACTTGTCGGTGTGGATCTTGTTCAGATTGGATGCCGGCACAATGTGCGTCTGCAGCTTGGGCGGCTGCTGCTGTGGCTGCTGCTGGTCAAAGGAGCTGACTCGCCGTCCGTTGTCGTAATTGATGATCGGGTTGCTGGTGATGCGCATGCGTGAATCTGCAACAGAATTGTTATAATACTGGCGAGTATCAACTGCATCTAGTGAGAGCTTACCGCGCGCATTGATATGCTGCTGCTGGGGCTGCGGCTGCTGGGCATTGTTGACGGTGTCGTTGACGGCCAGCGAGTGTCTGTCAATGGTGGAGCGTCCCAGCCAGACCCAGTCGTGGGCATTGGTAGTGGACTCCTTGAGGCGCACATCACGAAAGCCGCCAGCGCCAGCATTGCCGCTGGTCTTGCCAGCGCCAGAGAGCGGATCGAGGCCAGACTCAATCATGGCCGGTCGGAACTTGGAGGCATACACCACGCACGAGATGACAAACACAATGATGGCAAAACAGAAGGCCGTCAGCAGTACGTACATGCCCAGCTCCATGGAGGACATGTTGCCGCTGCCAATGCCGCCCGCCCGGCTGCCGTAGTGCGTCTTGTGCACCGCCTGAATGCTGGCCCGATGCTGGCGCGCCTGCACCGTGGGCTCGTATTGTTGGCTCGAGTCGCGCAGCGGTATGCCAACTGCTTAAAGCGTATCTCATTAGTTATCAACTCTGGTTCAGCCTGGGCTGAGCTTACCTATGATGTCCGCCAGGTCGCCGGTGTTGCGATAGTTTTTGCGCTCGCGGCCGACGGTGCCGTCGTTCTGTATGGACTCCTGTTTGCTGACAATGTCCACATTGTTGAAGTCCACCTCAATGGAGGCCAGGGCGCTCGCCAGCGGCGCCGCATTCGGCTTGTTCGGCTTGGAGGAGCTGCCCCCCGAAGACGACGAGGAGGAGGAGGAGGACGAGCCGGCGCCAGGGCCGCGTCGCATGCGGCATTCCTCCGACAGCAGCAAAGTGACGCGCAGCAAATTGCCATTGCCCTCGCCGACGGCGATGACGCGCGGATGATGCGAGGCCAGCATCGGCGCAAAGGCGACCACCTCCGTGTCCAGGCTCTCCACCAGCAGGAAATAGTCCTCCACCGCAATGTCGCTGTGAATGCATACAAATTCAACGAGTTGTTACACGAGCAATTATTTTTCAGCCTTCCAAGTTGCCCTATTCCTTCTAATTTCCACACATTTTTCGTGGAAAACCTCAATTTCCCCCTAATCCCACTTATTCAATTTGAAAAGTAACAAGGATTATTTCACACTTGCGGGTGGAATTGTCCAAATACCACATACTCTAGACTTTTCGTAGAGTCTTGCATCTAAGTACAAGCTTAAATCTATTTCCACCAAGGCAAGTGGATTATCCGAAAAGTGTGAAACAAGTCTCTAATGAATTTGCTCAAGTTTTTTTTGGAGCTTAGTGCTCGCCTAAATTCACAGCCTACTTTACGTTAATTCTTTCTTTTCAAGTCCCGCATAAAAAACCCTTTCCACTAGATGGAGTGGATTGAACGAAAAATGTGGAAAGGAAGGAAAGGATCTTTAGAGCTGATATCACAGCCTAAATGCACAGCCTATTTTACGTTAATTCTTTCTTTTACTAAAGTCTTGCATCTAAGTTCAAGCTTCAAGTCCCGCTCAAAAAACCCTTTCCACAAGATGGAGTGGATTTTCCGAAAAGTGTGGAAAGGAAGGAAAGGATCTTTGGAGCTGATTCCATAGCCTATATTCCGTTAATTCTGTCCACACTTGCGGATGGAACTGTCCAAATCGCCGTGACACGTATTCATTAGGACTTTTCGTAGAGTCTTGCATCGATGTTCAGGCTTTCAAATCCCACGTTTTCACCAAGGTGAATTTGATTTTCCGCAAAGTGTGAAACTCACAAATTAATTTGCACAAGAATCTTTGGAGCTGAGTTCACAAATCTTTTCGAAGCTCAAACGATTCTTACAACCTTTTCCCTTAAATTTTGTCTTCACTTGCGGATGAAATTCCCCAAAACATAGCTTTAACCTTCAACCTTTATCACACACAGGGTCGACATTTGGCTTTCTATCTCCAATCAATCGTGACATTCAGCTTTAAATAAATGTAAGTTGCTTAGGACTGGACTTACCGCAACGGCGTCTTGGAGCCATCGTTGAACTCGAGATCGATGTCGAGCAGACCCTCCTGATACTGTGCTGTGAGCTTGTGCGTGACGGATGTTTCGGCCAGGTAGCCGTTCTCGATGGCATTTTCCGGCGTGATGGTCAACTGCAGGCCTGATATGACGCGCACAATCAGCTTGGAGAGATTCACCTTGTCGCTGCCGACGCGTATCTCCTTGGTGCCAATGACACGGCCCGTGATCGGCGAGAGCACTTGCACATCGGTGCGTCCCATTGACTTGCCCTGCAGTATGCGGCCCTTGAGCGAGGCGATCTTTGGATCTGCCACGCGCAGCAGCGGCTGCACCAAGTCCGTGACGCGCAGTCCCGTGCGCCGTGAGATAAAGTAGCTAATGCGTCCAGAGTTCTGGCAAATGAAGGATATGGTCATTAAACGAATCAATTGTGGGACGACTGAGCGCGCCGACTGAGCTCTCACCTGATCGATGGCCAGGAATTTGGCGTACACCTCGACGGGACTCTGCTGATAGCGAGCGCGACAGATGGTCTTCTCGGCGCCGACATTGTTGTAGTAGCTGCTGCCCTTCGGGTTCCACATATACGAGCGCTTCTTGCGGCGTCTGGATTGTTTGTTGTGTCTGTGCAAGCGGAGCGTATCGCAGGGCGGCGTTAGAAAAGCATATTTAATTGAACAGTTCTTCTGACTCGCTACTCGTTACTTTATCTACCTAATACTATTTGTATTGCCTATTCTCTACTTGTTTTTTCTGATTGACTTCCCTTTATTCTTTACCATTCGCTGCTCTCTATTCATCACTTTCCTCTAGCTCGCTACTTGCGTTTACCTACTCGTTACTCTCTTATTCGTTGCATATATCCCACTCGTTACTTTTCACTTGCTACTCTCTACCTTTTGTTTGTTCTCGCTACTTCTATCTCGCTACCCGTTACTTTAGCTTCCTAATACATATATAATTGCCTACTCACTAATTTTGCCCCCCAATCGCTGCTCTCTATTCATCACTATCCTCTTACTCGCTACTTGCGATTTCCTACTCGTTACTTTTTAACCGTTGCATGTTCTCTACTCTTAACTTTTTAGTTGGTACTCATTACATTATATGTTTATGCTTACACTCGCTACTTCTATCTCGTGACTCATTGATACATTTTCTTATTATAATATTTGCCTGCTTCTCGCTACTTGTTTTCCTTTCCTTACCTTTTGCACTCACTACTTTTTCGTTCTTGCTATATCTTATTTAACCCCTACCCCTACCCCTCTATGACTAGTTGCGTGTTAACTGTCATTTCGTATTTCTTCTTATATGTTTTTACGCGTCACTGAATACTGTCTACTCTACTCGTTACTTCTTACCCGCTATTCGTTACTTTCAGGTATTTTTTGTTCTATTTATGAATTGATTCTCGCTACACTTACAGATAGTGATTGTCGTCGGTTACTTTCCAGCCCTTAATTTGGGATAGACGAAAGTCGGATATGTAAACTTCAAGCGGGAATTCGGGCATCCAGACAATGAACTTGGCCACGCCCACATAGGTGCCATACTTGACAATGACCGAAGCATTGGACGAGCCTCGCTGCTCGGAGCCATCCACATAAACGGAGCTGCACGACGAGGAAACCTACACAACAATGGAAAAAGGGGATGAAGTGAGGATCCATTAACTCATCTCTCTCTCTCTCCTACCTTGATGACGCTCTCGTCCTCGGCATGGCAGGAGCTCTGCAGGGTAACATCGGCCACTTTGCCCGCCTGCGAGACAATAAAGACCTTCATGGCCTGAGCCACCTGACGGCCAGTGAGAACCGCCGTGTTCATCACCTCCCAGATCTTGGCCATGGGCAGCACCGCCTGAATGTCGTCCTTGTTGATCTCCAGCTTGGCAATCAGACGTTTCTTGGTATCGTCCGTAGCAATCAGCTCCGAGGAGTCCTTGTCCTTGGGCGTATCGTAGACATGTGTGACGGACCAGACGATCTTGCCCCCGTCCAAAATGTCGTTGGGATCGTCGGCCACCTCCAGCAGCCAGGAGAAGACCTCGTACACCTCGTTGCTGGCGCTGCTGCTACTGGTAAAGTTGCCTCTGCCGTCCGTGTTGCCGGCGGCAGCGGTGGAGGAGGAGGAGGAGGAGGAGGAGGAGGAGGAGGAGGAATCGGAGGATTCCTTGCGAAAAGCGGTTACACGAGCCGTCGTATGCTTGGGATTCTCCTTTTCGATGCTAATGCTCCACTGATCGCTGGCGGCGCTGGCGCCCATGATGCGCAGCCCGGCCTTGACGCGGGCGCGGACCGTAAACGCGGCGACGCGCTGCTCCTGATCCGCATACTGATGCAGATAGACGGGCACATGCAGCTTGGACATGGGATAGAGCGGATGCTGGGGCAGCAGAAATGTGACCGAATCATCGGCGCGCAGCTCCTTAAACGGCGTCTTGGCGGCCAGCAGCGGCACCTGAGCGAATGTTGTCAACGGTTGGATCTGCACCTTCGGCTCGCATTGCTCCGGATTGCGCACCGGCGGCTCGAACACGCTGTACGAGACCTGAGCATAGCGTTGCGGCACCTTCGGCGGGATCTGTCCAGGCGCACCTCCGCCGGCGCCGTTGCTGCTGCTGCTGGCATCGCGGCTGTGGCGAGGCGCCGGCAGCGCTGGCCACCAGCTGAGCGGTATGACCACCTCGGCCACGCAGACTCCATCCTCGCCCTCGGGCATGCAGCGTCCCTTCAGGGGTTGTTCATTGGCCATGGCGACGTGAAGCAGCACGCAGACCTTTTGTCGCTGCAAATGGCCGCCGGGATCGGCGCCGGCATGGAAGAGCACGCGCAGCACCGGCGAATCCTGCGAGACGCTGCCGCGCACCAGATGCGCCGAGATGTCCAGATGCATGTTCGGCTGCTGCAGCTCCAGCAGCGTGGCCGTCGAGTTCTGTGGGCGACACATTTACAATGCAACGGAATTTTAAAATAGTAAGAAGGAATCTCTTACGTTCACATAGTCGCCCGCCTGGTTGGTGTCCATGGTGTCCGGCACAATGTAGCGCGCGGGCACCGTTTGCTTGGTCGAGAACGGGCCGTAGCTGGCGCGTATGGAGACGGGCTGTGTGGTCTCCACGACAGTGAAGCGATCCAGCGACAGCACCGAGTCGTATGAGATGCGGCTACGTGTCGGCGGCACCGAGGAGGAGCTCGGCACATTGGCAATCTCCGGCGTTACAGGTGGTTGACGCGCGTGCTTCAGAAAGAAGCCGCTGTCCGGTGCCTCGAAGTGCACCTCGACGCTGCCAATGTGCTCTGCAATTGGATTGATAATAAATAGTTAATCAACGCAGTCAATCGATCAATCAATCAAGTGTGAGCCTGATTGACACAATCCACCCTGATTTTAATTGGTTTTACAACACTTACGTGCAATTGACAGCAGCATTAGCGAGCTAATTATTACGCAGCACTTCATGGTTTCAGCTGCGCGACGCCTGCGCCCGTTTGTTTACCGTTCGATTGATTGATTGATTGACTGATTGACTTTCGTGTGTGCGACAGCTTTTGTTTTTAAGTTTTTTCCACTCGAATTTGTGTACACACTGTTTTGCAGTTCTTCTCTATTCGTTTTTCAGTTACATTTCACAATTGCTACACATTTTACAGTTTGAATATTTTCGCAACAACATTTACCGTTACAGGGCAAGGGCGTAGGTGTGCAGTGGCGGGGTTGGCGCAGGGCAGGGGATTGGTTTAACAAAACACAAATACCGTTTATTTGCTAGTTGTTGTTGTTGCTGCTGTTGTGGTTGTTGTTGTTGCTGTTCTTTATTGTTGTCGTTTTAATTGGTTTTTTGTAGGTTTTCGCTGCTGCTGCTGCTGCTGGTATTGCAAAAATCTACAGCACATCCTTTATTGATTCTTTCAGTGTGCAGCACACACACACACATGCAGCGTCAGGCGAATACGCATACACATACACATACACATACTAGCGCACACACTCACACACAAGCAGACATATGCACAGTTAGCTGGTATCGCCTTGGTCGCCGTCGCCTTCGCCTACATATACACACACATTTCACATTTCATTCATTTAGGCCGTAGTATAGACACATCTTCGGAGTCTCTTTTTCTTTCCGTCGTTCTCTTTGGTTTTTGGACAAACACTTGGCTGGCGCCAGTTAATGCCAATGCATTTGTTGCGTTTGGGGCACACGATTGAACTGATTAATTGCCACTAGTTTTGCATTAATTAACTACAACTTTAATACATTGTTTTTCGTTTGACTTTATAAATTTCTACGCAAATATCGAACATTTCCAAACACCCCAATACTTCCTTGGACTAGGGATGGTTCAATATATCGATAGAATCTTCATATCGTCATAATATTTGCTTACGATAGATGGCACGCGCAACGATATTTAGTTCGATTACCAGCGAAAATGTCCTAAAATTCAAACAAATCGAATGGCAACCCGCCAATTAGATGCTTGCCGACACTCTTGACATGTAGATGGCGCCAGCGTACTTGGCGCGCAATTCAAATGCTCATGGCATTTTACAAGGGTTTTGTAGAAAATAACTGTAATATGAAAATAAAAGTAATGTTTATATAATAATTATATATAATATGTTAATATATTTGTATATAAATAAGAGAGTGGGTTATGTTGTTACAAAAGTGCCTTCTGGGCGGGGGAGGGGACCATTTCCTTTGCAGCTGCAGCTGCTGCTGATTTGACTGCAAGGCAGCAAAATAATCAAATAAATTAAATAAACGCGTCGACCATATTAATGTTGGGCACATTGCACGTTTGCACAGCGCAAATTATTGCGCATAACTGTAAATTGAGTGGCGGGCAGCAGCGGGACATTTCTGGGACAAAACCTTTTCCCAGCGAACTTGAAATTTACGTGCATTGTGCATGGCCGCCATTTTGTTGGGTGCGGGAGAGTGCGAGTCGAGTGCGAGTGCGACTGAGAGTGCGACTGCGAGTGCGAGTGCGAGTGAGCTAGCACAACTGCAGTCGCAGCATCCCAATGCAAGTGCATGTGCATGTGCATGTGTGTGTGTGTGTGTGCAGTTGTTGACTTCTGATTGGGTGCCGCAGCTTTGATTTCTTGTTTTCGCCGTTGTTGTTGCTGTTGCTGTTGCTGTTGTTGTTGTTGTTGTTGCCATCTTGGCAGCCAATTACCGTTGCGTGCCGCATACCACGGCACATTCCAGCAACAGCACAAATCATGCATATTATTGAAAGAAACTTTGGCACACACAAAAAACAGCAGCAGCAGCAGCAGCGGCAGTGTTGTCGCTTTAGCTACTTTCCCGCCAAATGTGGCGTTTTTTCAATTATAGCGCTTTAGCTACAAAAGTTTTTGCGCCTTTTGTTTGCTTGGGAGTTCAAGTTCTTATTTTTAAGTAATTTTATTTTATTTGATTTAAATTTATTAATTTAATTTTAGTTAAAGTGCAGTTCTGGCTTTTTTCAAGCGTATTTTAGCTGCTTTTTTAATTTTTTGCTCAATTTCAAAAGGTTTTTCTTGTTTTCTTTTTGAGTAATTTAGGAATAAGTTATTTGAAGTTCTGCTTAATACTTAAAATTGTTTTTGCTCTTTTAAATTTTACAAAATACAATCTTTTCTTTTTGAGTGAATTATATATATATATATTATTTATGTTAAAATAATATTAGCGGAAGGTTTGGCCTTTTTTTGACAAATAAAATACACAAAAAAAAATCAAAATATTTGAAGTTTTTTTTTCACACTAGAACTAGCACTTTTTGTTGTTTCTCAACACTGAGCAGCAGCCGGTTATTGATTGAAAATATGTTTGTCTCTCTCGCACACACACACACATGCATGCACATACAAAAGTTGAAATTCCGTTGGGGCCCGTTACGCGAAAGTGGTTAGCATAAGCAAACGGCGATAAAGCAACAACAACAACAACAACAGCAACAACAACAAAGACAACAACAGATTCGAATGTTGCCTGCCGCCAGCTTTGTTTTTTATTTACGACATTATTAATGAAAGTTCTTTAATTATGTTTAACCTTGTTTTATTGCCATTTTTGCAAGTTTTAACATTTTAAGTAGGCAACATTTAGAAGTTTTACAACACTGTGCATTGATCGATCAGAATCGTTAGCTGCATCTGTGCTTCTTCTTGCCTCTGCCCTAACCTATTTACGGCAAATGCATTCTTCGGTAACTGCGGTGCCTGTTAATAGCCTGTTTCCACTATGCTCAAAATGTGTTACATTTAAGAACTTCACATTCTGCGATTCCACTGGCAAGTGTCGGAATGTCAAAAGTAACGCTTCTTTAAATAAATAGCTTATCAAAAATTCGATAAGTAATCGCAAAAAACACAAACAACATTTTTGGAGAATGTGAAAAATGTTGTTTCTTTTGGGAACAGCCTACATATTTCACATTCGCAAAAAATTTCAACAAATTTTAACATTGGAATTGGGCTAAAGAATATAGAAAACGTACAGGTTACATACTTTACATTCGCAAAAATGTCAGGAATGTTGACTGGAATTGGGTTATATTAGATTGGAGAATATGTCAGAAATGATGTCAGCAGAATTGGGCTATAAAAAGACAATTGGGGAGTATGGAAAGCCTACTGGCAACATTTTTCACATTCACGCAAAAATGTCAGAAATGTTGACAGTGGAATTGGGCTACAGCCTACATATTTCACATTCGCAAAAAATTTCAAAAAATGTTGACATTGGAATTGGGCTAAAGAATATAGAAAACGTACAGGCAACATATTTCACATTCACGCAAAAAATGTCAGAAATGTTGACAGTGGAATTGGGCTATAAAAGATTGGAGAATATGTCAGAAATGTTGTCAGCAGAATTGGGCTATAAAAAGGCGATTGGGGAGTATGGAAAACCTACAGGCTACATATTTCACATTCACGCAAAAATGTCAGAAATGTTGACAGTGGAATTGGGCTAGAAAAAGATAGTGATAAAAAGTGGTCTGTGTCGACACGGCTGCTGATCGGGAATATATAGTTTATATATAGTTTGTGGGATCCGACTGTTACATATTGAGGCACACAACAAAATGCTCGATGCCCATTGGCAATGGGCAATGCAGGGTATGCAGGAAAATGGCCAAATTGGCAGCACTGAGAAAGAGATACGATCGTTTGCAATTGACGAGAGCTGTTGCTGTTGCTGCTGCTTCTTCTTCTTCTTCTTCTTGTCGTTTATGTGTTGCATGTCTGCACGCGCTTGAAGGGAGCGTGGGCGGGGGGAGTGGGGAGGGGGGGGGGGGTGCAGGGGCCTCTTGAATGACGATCACGGCGACAACTTCTCCATACCAAATCAATTGGAGGCCAATAGAAGCTGCTGCTGCTGGCTCTTCCTCTTGTTGCTGCCTCTTCTTCTTGTTGTCTCCTCTTCTTCTTGCTGTCTCCTCTTCTTCTTCTTCAAGATGTTTGTAATTTAATGGCCCTCTTTATATTTGTTACATTATTATTATTCAAGTGTTGCCCAGCTGCCGCAACATTTCTCTCTGTCAATTGATCTTTTGTTCAGTTTTCTTGATAAACACACCACAACCCCCCCTCCCCCCACTCAACCACCCGCTTCTCTAGTTAGCCCGCCCGCCCACCTGCAACCCGCTGGCCAAGAGACGCCTCCAGCTATTCTCGCCATCAAAAGGCTTCGGCGCGGAAATTTATGATATGTGATTAGCATGCAAAAAGAGTGGACAACAAATGGACACACTCAAGGGGGAGAGGGGTCACACATGTGTCTCTCGACTGGGCGTGGCGGCAGCCGCCTCTTGGCCCGCTTTTATGCTTCTATTTTTGGGATAAAAAAAAACAAATTAATAGAAGAAATATGTTTTTGTGCCAATAAATTGATTGTTTTGTCGCTTTTCGGACAGTTCGTGTAGAAATCTTTGATATTGAAATTAATTTTCTGTCATAGGTCAAATTCGCTTTCTTTCTTCTCGTTTTTGTTTTCTGCCCCACCCAGGGCCGGATCGCGCGGCGTCCGAGCGCCCAATGTGGGGCGCGACAATTAGTTGGTAAATAATGTGAAAGAGAAGCACAAATTAATTCAAATGCGACATGTGCCACATACACATATCGTATAGTCGACTAGTAGATACCCTGTACATGTGCTCCAAGCATCAAAGCTAAACATCGATATTTATCGATTGTGGGAAGTAGCAAAGTTATCGAACTGGGCTAATTGTTCTGCTTATGTTAAGGATTGCGAGAATTTACGAAAGTCTTTATGCGAAAAAAAGAGAGGTTAAAAACCGATATTTATCGATTGTGAGAAATTGGAAATTTATCGAAATGAAGCACGTGTTCTGCATTTGGTAGGGGCTGCGAGAAATTTACGAACGTCTTTATGCGAAATAAAGAGAGGCTAAAAATCGATATTTATCGATTGTGAGATATTGGAAATTTATCGAAATGATTTACTTCTGCATATGGCAGGGAGTATGGGAAATTATTTAGATCTTTTCATTTTTGAGTTATGCGAAATAAATCGCGGCTAACAATCGATACATATCGATTTTGGGAAGATGTAAACTTATCGAAATTATCTACATCTGGTTTTCAAGCAGATATACTGCTCAAAAACAGTTAACTAACTATTTATGCGCCCAAATTTGGGCGCTCGCTAGTCAGCCGCTCGCTTAGTCCGGCCGTTTAGCACGGCGCAACAAATTTAATCATTAATTTATGAACTTTCGATGCTGGGCAAAATGATTTCGCAGCGGTGATATTAATACCCTGCAACCTTTGCTAGTGGCTAGAAGGGGTATATTGGTTTTGTGCAAGGGTATGTAACAGGCAAATGTCTACGAGAGAAGGCTTCGCTTACAGTCAAGTTTGTTTCAAATAATCGATAAATTCGGTTTCTAAGAAATCGATAAAATTCGTTTTTTTAATGAGATCGATAAGAATCGATATACAAGTTAGACTTCTTAAGAGATCGATAAGAATCTTTTATCATGTGCGATTTGTTAAGAGATCAATAAAAATCGATCAATAACAATCGATTTTTCTTAAGAGATCGATAAATATAGATTTTCGAATTAGATTTTCTGAGCACACTTTTTGGATATATATCTCCATATTCGCCTCGGAATAGAAAAAAACCTAATTTTTACAGATAAGGTCTTGTGCTCTGGTAATGTATACCCTGTATACCCTTTGTTTTACCATCTTCAAGCCTTGATAATCGTCAAAAAGATCGGACTATGAATACCGAAGTTCATCAGAAAGGTATTTGCGGTAAATTGAAAGACCCTCGAATGCTTGTGGCTGCAGTTGGCAGGGTATCTGCTAGTCGGGCATTGCCCATCATTGTGACCCGTTTCTATTATTTTGGCCAATATGTTACAGGTCGCTCGGAGATGGTTTTCGCCAGCGGGGGCCCTTTGACTAAAAACTTTCTTCTTCCGCCTGATTTGTCTAGCTTCGACGCGGGGTTATTAGTTGACCATTGACCCCGGGCCCGGGTCCGGTACGGGCCGAAAGTTGGCGAAAACGGGTTCTGGGAAAGAAAGCAAATTATGAATAGGCCAAACAGATTCTGGAGGAACGGAGGGGGGGCTGATGAATAATTCAGAGCGCAAATCGAAGCTGGAAGATCGCGCCGCGGGTCAATCGAAGCGCGCCGGCAAGCTAATATAAGGCGCAGCCGGCGCTGGGAGCCCAGTTTAGTCGCATTCAAATCCCGACAAGATGTGGAACAAACGCTGCGTCTTGGCGCTGATCGCCAGCTGCGTCTTGTGGCTGGCCCTGGCCACCAGAGAGGCCGCCGGCGAGACAATGATCGAGGTGGACGAGCACGGGGACGAGTACGAGCTGAAGCGCTTTCACATCCAGGGCCGGCAGCTGAACGGGAATGGCAGCAAGTCGCAGTGCGTGGTGACCAGGCGGAAGCGGGCCAGCGGTCGCTCCTTGGCGCTGGCCGGGCCCAGCGTCGCGGTCAGCTCACAGCAGCTCAGCCTGAGCGCGGTGCCGGCGGGCGTGGAGCATCGTGAGGCGGTGCTGCAGCTGGAGCAGGAGCCGGGCAGCAAGCGTCGTTACGTGGCGCTGGCCGCGTTGCAGCTGGAGGAGGATGACGAGGACGATGATGATGAGGAGGAGGAGGAGGATGATGAGGAGGCGGCGGAGGAGGCAGAGCAGCACGAGACGGAGCAGCAGGAACAGCTGGCTAATGATGATGATGAGCAGAAGCAGCCGGAGCAAGTGCAGCTGCAGGTGCAGTTGCAGGAGCAGCCGGTGGCCGTCAGCCAGCAGCAGCAGAAACAGTTCTCCGGGCAAAACTCCAGCCCCTTTGTGGGCGCCACCTTTGCCCAGGCTGTGCCCGGCGGCGTCAGCGTGGTGGCCAATGCGGCCACCCACGCCAATGTGGGCGGGGACGCGGGCATCGTTGTGGTCGAATCACAACAGCCGCCCAAGGTGAATCCCAACACGCACGCCGTCTTCGAGCTGAAGCCGCTGTCGCCGCTAAAGCAGACGGACTTTGTCTACTACGGCGAGGATCTGGATCTGGACGAGGACGAGGATGAGGATGGCGGCGACGATGGCTTCTACTATCAGGGCGTGGGCCTCTACGATGAGTACGAGCACTTCGTTACCGAGGACAGTCCCGTCAGCACCTCGGCCATTTGGAGTACGGGCGGCGACGATGACGGCGATATTCATCCCGTTATCAATGAGCCCAATCAGCGGCCGGTGGAGAGCAAGAAGAAGAAGAAGAAGCAGCAGCAGCAGGTGAAGCGCAGAAAGAGCGGACAGAAGAGAAAGCAGCAGCAGCAGCAGCAGCAGGAGAAGGAGAAGGAGAAGAAGAAGCGGCGACCAGCAGAGCAGACGTTGGCAGAGCTGGAGCAGCAGCAGAACAAGAAGAAGCAGCAGCAGCAGCAGCAGCAGAGCGTCAGCAGCGCTGCCGACAAGCCAAAGCCTGCCAAGAAGAAGCCAGCCAGCAGCAGCAGCAGCAGCAGCTCCTCCAGCTCCTCCTCGCCCGCCAAGCGCCGCAAGACAAAGCCCACTCAGAAGAAGAAGAAGAAGAGCAGACCGAGCAGCTCCGTCAATAAACGCCGACGTCCCAGCAGCAGCAGCAGCAGCAGCGGCAGCAGCGTCTACAGTTACAGCGACGCCATGGGCGGCTATAGACGCCGCCGGCCGCAGCAGAGCACGGAGGCGCAGCGCCGACGCCGGCTGCAGCAGAAGCGTCGCCGCCAGCAGCTGCAGCGCCGTCGACGTCGCCGCAACAAGATACGCAACCAGAACATTAACGGCGTCGGCGTCGGCTATCGTCGTGAATACTTCGGCGACGAGCCGATCGTCAATTGCATTTACATCAACAAGGATCCGCCGGCGACGACGACGACGACGACGACGCCGCGTCCCTTCTGGAATCTGCTGGGACGCGGCGCGCAGCCGCAGAGCGCTGCCGCGGAGCAGACGCTGCGTCGCCGCAGTGGCGAATTCGGGCAGCGCAAGCGTACAAATCTCAAATTTGTGGCCTAAATCGAGGCGAATATTTAATTAATCTAATAACCTTTTTTTTTTCTATTTTTTTTTTGTTTGCTTAGTTCCGTATTTATTTATTTAAACATATGTATACTTTTTTAATAAAATGTAATCGCTCAATTTAAATTTATCGATTTGTCTTATCGATTATTTGCTGTGCAAATACTCATCTAAAATGTGCGACAACTGTGCTGCCCCGCCCCCCTACGCCTTGTCTAACTGTTACTCAAATGCGCTGTTCGCCGTGTAACGTGGCCAGCCCAAGGCTACCAGGGGCTGGGGCCAGGGAGGGGGAGAGGGTGTGTGTGTGTGTGTGGTCAGGCGCAGGAGTGCGCGCAGCAAAGCAGAGGGCAGAGCGCAGAGCAGAGGCTTTGGTGTAAGCGAGAGCGAGATAGCGACTAGCTAAAGTAGCGCTAGTTTATGATTTCCGTCGTCAGATGGCGCCAGCGAAGCGCAATTTAACATGTCAACGATGCAAACATTTGCTGCCTGACGCTGCGGAATTTCCGCAGACGCCCCCTAACGGACAACCCAGCGCAGTGCAGCGCAGCGCAGCGCAAGAGTCCGCACAGTGTCTACGAAAAGTATGCTGTCGCCAGAAAAGTATTTAATATATGCACATAAGCGAAATATTGATTTGCATATTTAAATGCTTTTGTTGTTGTTTCCAATTTTTGTTGTGTTCGTTTTTTAAACTATTTTTGGCTTCTATTGCATACTTTGCAGGTTGCTCGTAAAAGATTAGATTCGCTGACGAATACTTTTGCGCCTGACTGTGAAATCGATCGATATGCGCTGTCCAGCAGCAGCAGCAGCCAGGCAGCCAGGCAGCTGCTGTACATTTCGTGCAAGTTGCGGTTGGCAAAAAAGTATCTCCTGTAGATACACAACGCACACACACACACACACCCACGCACACACACACGCATATACACCCCGCGCATTTTGTTTGGTTTCCGCCCATTTCAGTTAATGTTGTTGTTGTTGTTGTTTGCTGAATAAATAAAAAGCGTGCGCGCACAGGACACAAAAGAGCAGAGCCAAAAGCATGGGCGTCGGCTAGGGGGGGGGGGGGGGAGGTGTGTGTGTGGTAGGCAGCGACAGCTCAACAGAACTGAAAACCACAAAAAAATAGAACACAACACTGAAATGGAATTTAATGTAGGAACTTTTGCAGGGAGTGTGGGAGGGGGGGGGGGGTGGGTTGTCAATTGAATCAGGTTTGTAGCGTTGGTTTTTTGATGGTGTGCTGAGGTGTGCTGAGGGTGGTGAGGAGGGAGGGGGGAGCCTTAGTTGTGGCTATTCTTGGCAGTATGTTTGAGGGAGGCATGGGAAGAAGAGGGGGGAGGGGGGGCTGTCACAATGGACACCAGCAGGAACTAACGAATCGGTTGCAAATTATCGATAACAATTCGCGAAATCGATTAAAATCGATATTTAAATACTGTTCTTTTTGACTAAATCTGAAAGTGAATGAAAACTATGGCAATTGATTTCTCAAATAAAGTATCGATACTTAAAGATTAAAGCTAAGCTAAGCTTATTCAAGCTAAAGGACACCAAATTTGTAGTGTAGTGTAGCTTGGAGTATGTTCAAATGCAGAATATTCAACTTTTTTTGGATAACTCTAAACAGGAGCTGGGATATTCTTCATTAGTATATGCTCTAAGATAGCCTAACTAATGAAGAATATCCCAACTTCACCGCCATTTTACTCAAAATCAGACATATACTCTAGAGCTTTCGGATGCATTCACATTTCAATGCCATATTCAAGCTCTGAAAATTTCACAAAGATCGGACTGTAAGTTCCGAAGTTAAGCAGGATAGCAGAAGAGAGTCTCTCTCTACCCAGTAAACTAGGGATTCGCCCTTGATAAAAATATAAATAAATTAATATATATATAATATAAATGTATATATAGCTAATCATCTTCTTCGATTGGGTTATATTTATATATATATGTATATATTTAATTATTCATCTCATTCTCTGGAAATCGAATATCAAATGTGACAGAAATAGGTTTTTTTTTGTTTTAAGTTTCACTTTGTCTTTCTCACGCTATGCGCTTCAGGGCGAACGGGGGATATTGACTCTAGAGGGGGCAGGGGGTGGGGCTAAGTTATTGATATCGTGCGATGATTCGTTACTTTTCCGATTGGCACGCTTTTTAATAGCGTGTGTGTGTGTGTTGGTTTTTTTTTTTGTAAATATTTACAAAAGGAATTCTGGAAGTGGGCGAGTTTTTGCTGCAAAGGGATAAGGGTAGATGGATTAGGGGGGAGGTGAAGGTGGAGGGGGCGGTAATATTTGGCCTGGACTGCACTTCTGTAATTAATAATTGAACGAGGTCCTTGCACTGGACTGCAAGTAGATGCCAGGGCAGAGGGCTGAAAGGGGAGAGGGCAGGCCGGGAGGCGGCGGAGCAGCTTGGAACTGTTCGGCAGAATTGAGCTGTCCGTTTGTCTATATAGTCGGAGAGTCGGAGAGTCGAAGAGTCTCATCGCATCGCAGCTGTGCCTGCTGGCCTGGGCCTGGGTCCTCAGCCGGGTCATTGGCATGTGGACAAGAAACTGGTCCTAATTTGTTGTTGCGGTTGCCCCAGTTTGGAAAGGAGCACGAGCCAAAGAAGCGCAAAGAAAACGAAGAAGAGCCGAGCATTCGGAAGGGGTTAGCAGCAGTAAAGGCCACAAAAAAGAGGTTGACCAACTAAGTAGATACCCTGTACAATCGCTCAAAGCTGCGAGTGAAATACTCTTGATGTAAATCCACGTATCAAGTATCAAGCTTTCATCAACTTTATGAGTAAAACTTATGAACAGACATTTATCGAAAATCGATATTTATCGATAATCGATATTTATTGAAAATCGCATTTATCTTATTTATGAGAGATTCCCTGAAAGTCCGGGGACTGGCATCGATATTTATCGATATTTTTGGAACTCAAATTTGAAATACAATATCTAAGATGTATACGAATAGCTGTCATCGACATTTATCGATTTGCTGAGAATTGAAAAAGCTGCTGAAAGAATTGATGTAAATAATGAACTCTAATTTAATGTATATACTTTCTATAATATCTAAGATTTGCTCGATATTCCAAGGCTGCCATCGATAGTTATCGATTTTGTGAGAATTGCAAGAAAAATCGGAACACAAATTAAAAGTATCTAATTCTTAAAATGTCTGAGATATGCTCGATATTTATCGATTTCGTGAGAATTGGAAGACGTCTGAAGCATATACTCGATATTCCAGGGCTGCCATCGATATATATCGATATCTAGAGCTTGTCCGAAAACCTATCGAAATCATATTTACGCACCAACCTTATCGAATTGAGCTAACTTCTGTTGCGTGTCACAAGCGCTTGCTGCAAACGCGCATACCCGCACTTTGACCCGACTGCAAAAGGGCACAGGGTATACAGAGAAGTCGGCGATGCCGTCGCTTTCGGCACAGTCTGTTAGTTCCTACTGATTTATGGCAACGTATTGATTAAGCGTCGCGTCTGCCGATTTCTGCTCCTGCTCCTGCCCCCCCCCCCCCACCCCCGTTCCCGTACCCGTTCCCGTCCCGCCCGCGTTGAAGGTGTGAGGCGCAACCCTCGCCGCGAGTTTTTTAACGCCAGTTGCTGTCGACAGATTGGCCAAGGGTTTGCGCCAGCTCCTCGGCTGTCTGAGGGCAGATGTTTTTAGAAGGCTGCTCCTTTATTTTATCTCCCCTCACCTCTCCCCTCACCTCTCCCCTGCTCTGCTCTGCTCTCGTGGACGCGCCTAGTTACGCAATGATTTCTGGTCCGGCAGGGGCGTGTGTGTGTGTGTGTGTGTGTGTGCCTGGGTCAGGTAAGGGCCAGAAAAAAAAGGTGCGTCTATTTAGTCATAAGTGGATGCGTAATTGGGCAACTGTTGACGGGCGGGCAGAAGGAGCTGTGGCAGGGGCATTTGTTGGATTAGATTGTTTATGCGGCTCGTCGTCAGGCGTTTAATGGGCCTGACTAATCCCGGCGAGGTGTGCATAATGCACATCACGTCCATCGGGTCAGTCAACGGTCAAAGTCTTGCAGACGGCTGTCAACGTTTGCCCAATACCCTGTTCGCTCTGCAACACAAGCTGCAAAGCAGTTCTTCGGTGACTCTCAAACTGTTAGCCCCAAAAGGCAATGGCTTTCAAACTGTAAACATGTTTTTGAATCGAAGAGGTTCGCATTCGGCATTCCAATTTGTTTTTGTAGGTCGAAGGACTAGCAGATATCCTGCAAACATTGTAGCTTCTTTTTGATACACATGGGAAGACCCTTACCCTACAAGCAATACATTCTTGCTTAACTGAGGCGTTTCTCGACCAATCCTCATGAAATTTTCTGGACTTAACTAAGACATACACAACTCGTAGCATACCAAAGCCCAAGGCTCTAGCTTAGAGAATGCGTTTTTTTCCAATTCCGGCGAAATGGGGGCAGACATCTAAAAAAGTGAAATCCTTCGCATATGCATATTACCATACGAGAAGCTGCATGCCAAGCTTAGAGTAGCTAGCCCTTATTGTTTTCGAGCTACGCTTCAAAAAGCATGTCTTAAAATCGATATTTATCAATATTAGGAATATTGGGAGATGATATCGATAAAAGGTATATGAAAGGTAATATATCTTTTTTATATAGTTTATGGTGTCGAAGAGAGTAGAAAGGCTTTTGTTGTTATGAAAATCGACGGATAACTTAGCTTATCGATTGATCAAGAATATATATACTACTAGCGGATATTACCCGGCATTGCCCGTGAAATTGTAGATATTACCTTTCCGCTAAGTACGTGCCCGTGGGAAATTGAAATCTACAAGGTTTGAGCCAGCGACTATTTTTTTGTATACTTAGGCAACGATTTGTAGGCGCGTTCCTTACATAATTGCAGAAGCTTATCGCCAGCTAATCTACCCCATTTGCAGTCTGTGAAAGGGGTATGAAAACTTTTCAGCTGGACAGCT